CAAACCAGTTACACAACATTATTACATATGGCTGGACTATTTTATTTAAATCTCAGATATTGACGTTAAAGATCACACAGACCGATTTCTTGATTCAGTTTTCAAGTCATTTCATGCACAGGGTCCAACATGCATGAGTCATTTAAACACATCATGAAGACCAACAGAGTTTATATTTTCTACAAATTGAATTAAATAGATATGTTTAGCAGATAATCAACCCCAAGTTAATATATAATAAGTTTAATACGTGGGAGAACCTGGTTCCCCTTCACTGCGGCTTGTCTGCGGTGACTAAAAACAAACACTAGAGGTCATCAGAGAGCTTTCAGAGCACTCCCAACTCAAATTTCTTCTCATTGAACAGCAAGGAGGATGTGAAAGTAAGCACACAATTTGAATTTAGTTATTATGATAATTGTGTCATTCACGTCGTGCATTTACAGCCAAGAAATCAGTCTGAATCCCCAAAGTTTAAAAAAAATTATAGAATGTATGATATTAGAAAGAAATACTTATAATAGTTATAGATTGTAAATGTGTGTGAGAGTGTGTGTGTGTGTGTGTGTGTGTGTGTGTGTGTGTGTGTGTGTGAGAGAGAGAGAGAGAGAGAGAGTGTGTGTGTGTGGGAGCACGGGTGTGTGCATGTGTGTTTACATATGAAAGGCTTCAGCTTATGAGATTGAGGATAGAGGGACTAGTGGCAATACAGCAAGTGAAGATATATTAAGAGCAAAACGATTTTCTTCGGGGGGGTGGGGGCTCTAACTGAAAATACAAACTGGGGGAGTCTGTATATCCTAGAAAACTCTACTTTCTTCTGTATAGACAAAGCAGGGGAGAAGTAAGTAAAAAAAAAAAAATCTGAAAAGTGGGAGAGTATGCCTCTTTAAAGGAAGCATTCAGGCTAACTGCACTATGTAGTGTCCTACACACAAGTTATGATGTACAGTAGACTCAGATGTGAATATCATGGCTTTTATATGTGTTGTTTATGCCAGCATACAAAGATGTTGCTCAAGAATATTAACTTATCTCCAAGGTATTACATAGTATTATCATCTTTATTACTGTTATTATATTATGGTGAACTGACAGAGAAAATATGTGCCATTTGAGCTTTCCTTTATGTGTTTTTTTTAACTGTGTAGATAGCCTATTGGCCTACCATAATGGTGCAATCATAGCAACCCTGTCCAAAAATGATGTTCCTTTTGATGTAGGTGATAAATGTAGTTACAGTATTGCATTGTTTAGAGAACAAAATGCTACAGATTTTATACATGTTTCAAATTTATTGTTTGCATTTATGTTATTAGTACTGTTCTGGCTTGATTAAAACCACCCCTTTGTTAAAATTCAGCAGAACTAATAAAGATATGTGAATAATTCAGCACTTTGTGTCATTGAGCAAATAATTTGTCCTGTGGTTAGGATTTTATTCTGGGAATCAAATATTGGAATATGGGAATATTCTAGGCACATGCCTTTTATCACAGCAGTTCAGGTATAAGTCTCAGGGGTCATGAGATGATTAACAAGATGAAAGAACATATTTATTTCTACTTTTACTGTTAATTACTGCAGCTTTCCCTCTCTAAACCCCTTAAGTATTAAAACAATAAGGACAATAACTCTAAACTTTGGTTAACCTGGCCATATGTGGAAGAGGTATTCAGATACTGTACTTCAATAAATGTAGTAATACCACACTGTAGTAATACTCCATTACAGCAGCATTGCAAATCTTACTTACTTATTATAACTTATTATCAGAAAGATAAGTATCAAAAGTAAATTAAGCAGAATGGTTTCTTTCAGTACATTAATATATATTATGCTAATTGATTATTAGTACTGATGCATTAACATCTCAGCAGCATTTTAATGTAGGTATAGCTGGTTTAGGATGCTGTTGAGTAGTTTTGAAGCAATGCATCTTATTTTACAGGCTGGTTATGTTTTGTATGTAAAATCTTAAATTGTCTGCAATGTAATCAAAAAGTGCATATTTTCCTCTGAACTGTAATGAAGCAGAAGTGTAAAGTAGCATAAAATCCAAGTGCTCAAGTAAAAGTACCTCCAAATTGTATTCACAGTACTTGAGTAAATATATTTAGTTATTTTCCACCACTAGACCTGGCTGTATACATTTAAAAAACATATGTATCCTGTGAGGAGGGGCATGCTGGGAACCATTGTTCTATCATACAGTATAATGTGGGTACTGCTCTTACAAGTCTTTATACCATGTTGACCGAAGGTCTTCGAGGCTGATACAGTAGAATTAAGATACAGTTATTTCAAGAAAGATAAGATAGTGAGTAACAGTCCTCAAACCAAAGAAGTCTGAGATCTTCCCGGGAACAGCATACAGCCTAGTGAGGAGTCATTGACATGTTGCATGTTGTTTTTCGCATTAGCTGTATGTGTGTTTCACTTGTTTTATTGGATTGTCTCTTGCTGGTGCCTGTTGGCTAGGTGGTCAAATAAAGGTAAAATAAATAAAAGTGAAGATAGATGTCTAAAATGTAATTAGAGATGATCAAGGGTCCGTGTATGTTTTGGTCATTGGATTTTCCTTTCAGAAACGGGTATTAAAAAACAGAAAACGAGTGGTTATTTGATTTTCGTTTTAAAATACAAAAATTAAAATTGAAATACAAGGCGTTTTCTTTTCATGGTCAGAAAGGGATGAGCAAAATTAAAAAAATATTCGATTTTCATTTTCTATTTCATATAACAAAAAATAAAATCACTAGAAAACAGAAACAGAAAAAGGCCTGTTTTTCATATTCTGAGACCGGATGTTGTCATTTACAGGACGGTGCTGTGTAGAAGAAACAGTAGGTTAGTAGACTGCGGACAATCCAGCCGTGAGTCCGATCTCCGTGGTCAAATCAGCCGCATTTAAATTTCGAGTGTACAAGTATTCTCAGCATTATGGTAAATGCGGAGAAACAGCGTATTTACTTCCGGTTTTCAAAATAAAGGTATTTAGAACAGTAAGCTATAATTCGAACCTACATTTAAAATAAAATATGTTACATTAAAGTGTTGTGTGCCCATGATGAATAAAAAACACTTTATATCAAGTATACTGCACCAGTGTGGAGAAATGCCAAAATAAAAGCCTCATATTTATGACTCCAGAGATTGCATATTTGACAATATTAGAGGTACTGTAAAAACATATTGCTCAGTGTTTCCTGGCTACTGATGGTATATTTGACTTTTACACATATGAGACTACAACCATACTTAATATCAAGCATTTTTACTGTACCAATTTGGAGAAATTCAACAATAAAAGTCCATATTTGTACCTCCAAGTGGTGTTTTCATATATTTGAGCTACTGTAAAAACACTTTGCTCAATAATTCCTGGCTATGGATGATATATTTGACTTCTACACATCTAAGACTACAAGTATACTTAATATCAAGCATTTTTACTGTACCAATGTGGAGAAATTGAAGAATAAAAGTCCCATATTTATACTTCCAGATTCCATATTTTCTTATATTTGAGCTACTGTAAAAATGTAAACTGTATGTGGAACCACCTGCAACAGCTGTCACACTGAATAATATAAAAAATAATATGTGAGGAAGAGACAGTAGGTACAATGGTGTTTTGAAGTTAAAACTAATTATTTTTCCCTTTTACCTACAAATGGACACAGCAGAGCTGCAAAATAAGAAGAATGTGGACTGGCATTGCATTTTGTGTGAAAAGTAAACAAATTAGAATTGTGTAGGATTTTGTGTTTAGTGTTTAGTGTTTATATTATATATAATTATATATATGTTATTAAACATTTGTGTGAAAATTTGTACTGTAAAAACATATTGCTCAGTGTTTCCTGGCTACTGACTTTTACACATATGAGACTACAAGCAGACTTAATATCAAGCATTTTTATTGTACCAATTTGGAGAAATTCAACAATAAAAGTCCATATTTGTACCTCAAGTGGCATATTTTCATATATTTGAGCTACTGTAAAAACACTTTGCTCAATAATTCCTGGCTATGGATGGTATATCTTACTTCTACACATCTAAGACTACAAGTATACTTAATATCAAGCATTTCTACTGCACCAATGTGGAGAAATTTAAGAATAAAGGTGGTTCCCCTGTATGTGGAACCAACTGCAACAGCTGTCACGCTGAGTCTGTAAAAGGGAAAAATAATATATGAGGAAGAGACAGTAGGTACAATGGTGTTTTGAAGTTAAAACTAATTATTTTTCCCTTTTACAGATTCAGTGTGACAGCTGTTGCAGGTGCTTCCACATACAGTGCCTACAAATGGACACAGCAGAGCTGCAAAATAAGAAGAATGTGGACTGGAATTGCATTTTGTGTGAAAAGTAAACAAATTAGAATTGTGTAGGATTTTGTGTTTAGTGTTTAATCTTTATATTATAATTTTTTTATAAAATGTTATTAAACATTTGTGTGAAATTTTGTCATGATTACTGCATCATTATTGAAGTATAATGAAAATGCTTCACCCATAGCCAGGTATTATTGAGCAACGTGTTTTTACAGTAGTTCAAATATATGAAAATATGCCACTTGGAGGTACAAATATGGACTTTTATTGTTGAATTTCTCCAAATTGGTACAGTAAAAATGCTTGATATTAAGTATGGTTGTAGTCTCATATGTGTAAAAGTCAAATATACCATCAGTAGCCAGGAAACACTGAGCAATATGTTTTTACAGTACCTCAAATATTGTCAAATATGCAATCTCTGGAGGCATAAATATGAGGCTTTTATTTTGGCATTTCTCCACACTGGTGCAGTATACTTGATATAAAGTGTTTTTTTATTCATCAGGGGCGCATGAAACACTTTAATGTAACATATTAAATGTACATTAATTATAGCTTACTGTTCTAAATACCTTTATTTTGAACACCAGAAGTAAATACGCTGTTTCTCCGCATTTACCATAATGCTGAGAATACTTGTACACTGGACATTTAGGTGCGGCTGATTTGACCACGGAGATCGGACTCACGGCTGGATTGACCGCAGTCTACTAACCTACTGTTTCTTCTACACAGCACCGTCCTGTAAATGACAACATCCGGTCTCAGAATATGAAAAAACAGGCCTTTTTTCTGTTTCTGTTTTCTAGTGATTTTATTTTTTGTTATATGAAATAGAAAATGAAAATCGAATATTTTTTAATTTCACTCATCCCTTTTTGACCATGAAAAAGAAAAACGCCTTGTATTTCAATTTTAATTTTTGTATTTTAAAACGAAAATCAAATAACCACTCGTTTTCTGTTTTTTAATACCCGTTTCTGAAAGGAAAATCCAATGACCAGAACATACACGGACCATCAAGGGAAACCTTTACAATGCTAAAAGGGCTAACCATCGACATGTAAGCACCGTGGAGGGTAAAGACAACATAATGTCAGCAGACACTCAATTAAATTAGGTATTTTTTCACTCACCTGTTGCATCTTGGACACTGACGAATTTCGCCATTTCGCCAAATGTGACGCATGTCGCTTCTCGGTTGCCATACTTGTATTGGCTAAAGGCTAGTAGCTGTTAGCTAGCTACCTCCTAAAGTTAGTCGGAGGAGCCAAATAAAGAGTGAAAACAGCCACGTTTGCCAGCGACCAAGCAACGTAAGCTTTGTGTGCTTTAGTTCACTAAGCCGATGTTAACATTGTCAGACTTGCTCAGCATTAGCAACGTTAGCCAACATCGTATTGCTAGCTAGTGTTATGTTTTGAACGCAGCTGTATTCCATAAGACGAGCTAACGGTAGCTAGCTAGGAATGGTACGCTAGTTCTAGAATGTAAGTTAATGCACAATGTAACGTTTTTAACGGTCACTTCTATCTGAGGAGCCTGCACTACTGGGGACGGTAATATTTACAGGTACATTAATTACAGCCGTCGTTTTATTAAATGTAACTTTGTAGTTTCCAGTAACTGCTAGCTGGATCAGAAACTAAAATGAAGGGCTGCAACTGAATGTTATTTTCATTATCCGCCAATATTCAAGTTATTTTCTCGCTGGTTTGTTCCATGTAATGTCAGGAAACGTTGCCATCATAAGTTCCAAGAGCTTAATGTGAAGTAACTAACGTTAGGTTAGTTATTTATGGCATACCATTTAGGAAATTAATATTTGAATATATTGAATGAAACTTTGAATATATTGATTTAATCCTTGAATATATGGAATGAATCCTTGAATATATGGAATAATTCTTTAATATATTGAATGAATTCTTGAATATATGGAATAATTCTTTAATATATTGAATGAATCCTTGAATATATTGAATGAATCCTTGAATATATTTAATAATTCTTTGAATATATTTAATAATTCATTGAATATATTTAATAATTCTTTGAATATATTGAATGAATCTTTGAATATATTGAATGAATCCTTGAATATATTTAATAATTCTTTGAATATATTTAATAATTCATTGAATATATTGAATGAATTCTTGAATATATAGAATAATTCTTTGAATATATTGAATGAATCTTTGAATATATGGAATGAAACTTGACTGACGTCATCAAGGCACTGCTGCCATCTTGTATTTTGCTTCTGCAAGAAGTGAGAATGAGTCAGTCAGGAACCTTGTGGCAGCAATACTGAGCATTGAGGACATTATTAACTCATTGGCGAGTGCTTGTACAGGCCAAAATCCTCCCGATAGTACCCGTGCCCAATACTGTTCTCCTGACGAAGAAGTTTGCTCCCTTTTTAATCGTGGCAGGCCGACTACAACAGGCCTCAGGCAAAATCCTGACGCATAATGTTCTTTCGGCAATGTTTTGTTGAACATTATTACTCATAAGCACTATGAATGTCTCAATAATAGAAATATGATCCTCAAGGTGACGCGATATAGTCTCCAAACTGTTAGTGTCATTTGGAGTACAACCTGTTGCAAAAAAGTTTTCCAGTTCAAGAAAGTATTGGAATATTTCAACTGATGCCATTTTGTAAAACCAGCGAATTCAGAAGGCTATCGCTTTGATGAAAAACTAGGTTTTGAATTTCATTCTGTATTCTCAATTTTTTTTATCAGTATATCCAAGCTTCGTTTCATATATTCAAGCTTCATTCCATATATTTAAAGATTCATTCAATATATTCAAAGATTCATTTCCTAAATGGCATGCCATAGTTATTTGATAAGTTCCCAAACTCTTATATAATCTTATATATATATCAATTACCAGAATAGGTGCTGATTTATTTTCCTTTAGTTGACTAATCTATTCAGTGATTAACGTTAATCATTTAATTAGATAGCATTTCTTTGTGAAATAAATCTGCAAATCCCTAAATTTTAGATGTAAATGTTTGGCATTTTCCTTTAAAAAATTACTTTTACGACTGACTAAACTGGTCAGTCATTAATCTGAATTGTTACGTTTATGTTGATGAACTAATGGAATAATCAACTAATAATTTCAGCACTAACCATTGTGGCGTCCACAGATCTGAACTGTGTGCTTTATTTTGTGTTTAATTACCAAACATTTGCACATTTTATTGGATGACTGGCCAGATGTCAAACGTAAGTGGAGGTCACCATCTTCCACCTTTCACCGTCCTTTTATCGCTATGTAATTAACACACCTACTGTACGAGCTTACACCTTTGAACTCACTGTTGAAAATTGTCAGTGGAAGGTGAAGGTCTGTAAAGCTAGCTTTGTTATGAGGTCAAAGGTCTTGTAAACTAATAGGCGGAAACATCAACAAAATGCGATTACCTTCTAGTAATGTAGGACAGTGTGGCGTACCAGTGTGAGTCAGTGTTGAACAGTGGCATTCACTGAATGCTCCATTTGTCCTTCACCTGTAAGCTGACGCAAGGGAACATGTGTGGCTCTAAAATATATATTTTTTTCTCCACAGGTTGGAGAATATGGTTGTGAATCTCTGTCTGCCACACTTTTATACAACAGTTCATTGCAACAAGGTGCGACACACTTCATGGATCTGTCACTTAACTGTACCTTCCTCCAGCTATTTTTTTTATGATGATGATTTTTTTTATTTAATGTGCCATTCTTTCCTGTCAGTTGTAATGCAACATACAGGTGACATGTAACTAGAGTTACTTAGGACATTAAACAAACTAAAACCCTAATTTCTGCATGTCTTGTGAGAGCATCATTCACCTTTCCCCTTTTAAGAAAGTTTAAGAATAGGTCCAATATGTGTTGAGACGAATAAGAAGGAACGTACATTCAGTAGATGCATGATGGCAAAGGTTTCAGGTAAAGGACAAAGATGTGAAAATAAAGAAGCAGAGGGACAAAGTGCTGTGTGGGTGACTGAATCACAACCGACCTTGTTATGTTCTTTTTTTTTGTAATCTGATCATGGCTGTATTTTCTCCACACTTGGCATGAAAGATGTTATTTCTCTCCTTTTAACTCCTCTTCTACCATGTCCTTTTTATATTATTATATTGTTCTATTGTTTGTGGCTTATCATATTATTTAGTCTAACTTTAATGTGCTGCTCTGAGACGCATTTACAGAGAATACGAGATGTCTTACACACTCACAAATTAACATTTCCATTGGAAACTAAATCAACTGGACAGACACAGGAAGTTTGCTTTAATGTATTATTGTACATTTCACTAAAAATTATTACCTATTTGATTTATTTTTCCACTGCAGCTATGTGCAGATGGCTATGATGTTACAAACCTTGTGTCGCCAGACCCTGCTGTTCGGAGGCAGGGCTTCAAACTGGAGTACTTCTTACGTCCACCTGTACAGGTAAGGCTCGGCTTTCGTTCTCCTTTTTTAAAATATATTTAACTGTGGCCTTACATTCTCTGGCAGACTAATGTGATCACTACCAAAGAGCACCACTTCATTTCATTTGAATAATTAAATCTTTGAAGTGTAAATTTGGCAAAATCAGAGTCAGATCAGGCTATTTAACCAGACGAGCCATTATACATATAAAAAAAGAGTTTCTTATGTTTCTCTTGCAGTGTTGACTTGTTTCTTTAGATAACCTTATCCTTCTTTTCCCATCTTCAAGGCTGGTGTGTGTCTAAAGTAAAATTCTACTTTAAGACCTAGATTGTTAGGGCAATGCTCTTTTTAACTTATGCCAAAAAAAGTTCCCGTTTAAGCATTCTTCACAGAGGTAGTTACACTCTGTCATAGTATCAGAAATATTACTGTAAAATTAATAGATGTGCAGTCTTGAAAATATTGCCTTGTATTCAAGTTGCCGAGAGGCCTTTGCACTGTATTTTTCAAGAGTTTGTTTAATTCATCATCCAATAAAAATCATTACACATAAGGCATGAGCACTCTTAAGGCAGAATGCAGCACCTCTTAATTATCCACTTTTTTAGGTGGATAGGATCTGTAGCAACACTAGTAATACATTAATCAATTAATACATATATCCATTTCCTCCATTCCTCTCAGGTGACATTGAAGTTTGGCTTCCAGGTGGAGCTGTGCAGGGTGGATGTGGAGCTGTGGCCCTGGGGTATGGACAAAGGACAGGCCTGCAAGAAACTGGAGATCAGCACCAGCTCTGATCCGCGACCTTCCCAAAATATCAGCCAAGGCCACAGACAGGTTCAGCAAAAGGAACAGATGCAGGTAAAGAACCAGCATGAACAGAGCAGAGAAAAGCAACAACAGCACGGACGTAAATCTCGCCGCAATAATGGCCACCAATGGAGTCGTCAGGCCCAACAGTGGGGAGAAGAGGCTCTAACTGAGCCTGAACGAAGGGGCCATGTGGTCAAGTCTCAGTCAAACACTGAATCAAGTAATCCTGAACCAGAGTTTAAACTGGTAGGTCGTTGCGAACTTAGGGAGGAGACCAGAGTCTGTTTCTCACGTTCAAATTTTAGACCCCGCCCCCCTTTCCTTTCGCTTCCTCCTCCACAACCTGCAAACTGTCGGCAAGAGGAGCTATGGAGCAGGGGGCTGCTCTCATTAGGCGCTGTGACACAACTTCGTGTGACTGTGCCATTTGGCGGTGCAGCATCTGCTCTGGGGCTCAAGGCTTTGGTTGTGTGGGGACAACCTGCTCGCTGCTGCCCTGCAGAAGAAGTAGAGAGGATTAAAAGAGTCTATGAGGCCAGTGAGAGGCGGCTGCCACAACCTGTACTTTGCTCCTCTTCTGTCAGCCAGTCGAAGCCGCTACTGCAAGCAGCTACACCTCCAAGGTCTGTTTTTATGAAGCAGCCTTATATAAAAAATTACATTTCTGTTTAATCTCCTTCTTGTTTTAGATAATATAGAGCTTATAATAATAATAATCATAATAATAAAATATATACATTTTCTGACAATGTTGATAATTATCTGTTTGCTTTTTATCTCTTGACTCCAGCAATCTTTCCATCCCAGAAGAGTTCCTTGACCCAATAACTCAGGAGGTAATGATGCTGCCCATGCTGCTCCCCAGTGGTGTGTCAGTGGACAACACCACTCTGGAGGAGCACCAGAAGAGAGAAGCAACTTGGGGTCGACCACCGAATGACCCCTTCACCGGCGTCCCCTTCACTTCGACCTCCCAGCCTCTTCCTAACCCCCAACTGAAAAGCCGCATTGACCACTTCGTCCTGCAAAAAGGGATGAATAGGAGGGAAGGGATGTTGGGAAGACAAGGGGAGGGAGATGATCCACAGGCCTCGAGACTTATAGCCTCCAAAAGAGATGAACAGTCCCAGAACTCTCCAAGTTTCAGTGAAAGCTCTTCAAACAATACTGTTATTCAATACAGTGCTGGCACCAGAAATATAAACAGGACTCTACAAATAGAAAACACCGGATTAAGACATTCATCAGATAATGGAGGTCAAACATCAAACTCCCAGCCTTTTACTACAGATAATAAATCAGAGATAGAGGGAAGAAAGAAACGAGGTCTAAGTGGAATTCCCAAAGAATCAAATGAAGAGTTTACAGCAGAGACGCAACAACTACCTCAAACAAAAAGACCAAGAAATGATGCGGTTTCAAGTGAGTATAACATGCTCTGTAAGAGTAAAACACTAAATCATATATATATATTTTTCTGCTTACTTGTCTGTTGTGTCAGTTCACCATATTTCTTCAGTCCCCAGCTCTCATGAGCAGCGTTTGTCAGCCAGCCTGGATGAAGCCCTTTTCTCCGCCCTGCAGGGCCGACCCTCCTTCACCTCAAACTTGTCCCAGCAGAGACGTGATACTCCTGACTCTGAACCACCAAGCACCTCACAGCACTGTCAGACTGCAGGTACTTCAGGCATGCCAACAGGTTGGAAGTCCACTGTGAAACATTTCTGAACAAGAATCGTTGTGTTTTCATTACCTTAGATTGAGCTATTTTTATATACAGGGGGGAGAGGGTCCTCTTCCATGGAGGCTGCCATGTTGAACCGTCATGTTTCTACAGTAGCCCAGATGGACGAACAAAACACTGGCTTTAGATAGAGGCTGTCACATTTTGGCGAGTTTCGCAGCAACCGTAGTTTTCCTACAGGCTTACAGTAGGAGGGTGAGGCGAGGGGGTTGTAATCTTCAACTACACTGGTAGATGCCAAATTCAAATGCCTAAATCTTACACACTGGTCTAACAATGTAGGATTTAGTGACATGCAGCAATCTATCAATGCCTTCAAATGGTGACCTAGCAAAAAGGAAGCTTGGGAAACAAAGGCAAAAATCTTTATTGTAACTTCTCAGATAACTCTAGACGAGGCAACAGAGTCGCATGTATTTCTTGTCTCAGCCCCTTTCATTCTTTTAATGCAGAGCTGTGTTTGATCCAATCCCGCACTAACATTGGTCAGAGTATAGAGTTTGTCGAGCTTCAAAAAGATCCCTTTTTAGATCTTGCTGTTTAATTTTTACATGAATAGGAGCCTCAGCGCCGCCAGAGGACATGTTGAGGTTTTTTTTTTCTGAACTGGAAAATTTCCCTTTCTTTCTCATAAACACAAAAGCAAAGCACTTGTTGAGAGGCCTTCTGGGTTGCAAGAAATCAAAAACTGAGGATGTTGTTGGTTAAGAGAGAGGATTTAATTTACAACACATGATAAAAGAACTCCTGAAATACACTGAAAACACAATATTTTAAGTTTATACCTGTTTCTAATGTCTAATGTTAAATTAGTATAAATCCACTGATTGATTTCTCCTCACATTTGTTTCCCAGGTGAGAAGAAGTGCTCAGCGTGTTCCTGTTCGGTCTCCGTTTACTCTAAATCTGCATCATCAGTCTACCGTCTCACCTGTGGTCACTTGCTCTGCCGTTCCTGTCTGCAGAGGGAATCACAACCACTAAACTCTGTCACTATATCAGCCTCCAATCACATCTTGTGTCCCGCCTGCCAAAGTCCTACACCACGCAGTGACATCGTACGTGTGCATCATTGACCGATGCCTTAAATGGCAAACCTACGCATTCAAAGCCTGCGAGGAGGACTGCACTCAAGGTGAAGACCGGATTGTATCGCGTATTTGGCGTTTTAGTGTTATGACCCTGCTGAACTCAAAGTGGGAAAAAAAAACCATTTACGTCTGAAAGATCCTACATAGATTTATTTATAAATTGTTTACTTTATTTGATGCTACCGCCATCTTCCTCTTTGATCTACAGAATATCCTCACAGATGTGTCATACTGTTTGCTGATGGTTGTATTTTATAACTTAAATACATTATTCATCCCTCATCTCTCTTTTTTTTTCCTCATTATTTTGTAATATTTTGGTATTTCTTATTCACATATGTAGTTCAAGTCTAGCATTTAATTATTTTTCTTCGATTTTCCTTGGATCTGTGATGCTACAAAATCAGATCAGAGTCTTCTGTTTAACTGTCCTCAGCCATGGAAAGGACATCACTGAAAAAATACCTTTATCAAAAACTTTTAAAAAAGAATGTTAAAAAAAAGAAAAATAAATCTGTCTCTCGTCTCTTCCACCCCCTCTCTTCGTCTTACCCTTTTCATGAAGCATAGTTGCAGCCTTGGTTCTGCAGCTTTTGTACAGACCCTGGATGTGTAGATGATGTTGAGGAGGCACAAAGAAAAGGTTGGGGGACAGGAGTGCTGAGAGCAAGAGGCCAGAAGAATTAAAGTGGAAATTGAGTCGACCCAAGGCTGTGTGGTCATTGTGAAGAAACATTCATCACTTAACATTCACTATGCTCTTGTGTAGGTTATGTTGTCTTTTATAGGGTAAATGCAGGCAGAACATGTAATGACGAGGGCAGATTTTGACATTTTTTATATTGATTGATGTTAAAAATAAACTATATGCTGGTATGAATTCCCGCAGGTGTTTATCAGGTAGTATTAAAAAGCTGAATTTGTTCCCTATTTTGACTTTTTTTTTCCCCCTTTCAGGTGCTGTGGTAGGAAATTATTGTATGCACAATGTTTCCCAGCAGAGACTGCAAGTCCTCCAAAATGGCCTTACACACGTATTCATTTTCTGCCTCTTAACACTTCACCCTAATTGCCTCTTATGAGGATGTTATTGAATGCACAAAAGGGTTAAACAACCCAAAGTCAGAAATAAAAACAGCATTTATTGGTCTTCACAATCACACACAGCATAATTTATGTTGGTTACCCTGACAACATTAAGCTTAACCAAGGTCATGATCCTGTATCCGCTCAGTAAGAGCAAAAAACTGGAACCAGTTGTTCTACATGTGAAATAGAGACATCAGCTTTACTGCTTGAGGTGCCAAGTGGTTAATAACACCATACTGAATCAGACTGAATTACTGCCTCTACTTATTAAATTGACTGATTAACTTTATACACTTAAATCTAAACTGAAACTTATTTTTGTGCTTTCTACATGTCAGAAATGTAAAAAGGTAAATCCACCCCCAGGCTGTAATTTTATTAATCCATTAATCATTTTATTAATCTACATTTAAGCATGATCATGGTATCAGGAGTTGAGTCGTTTCCACTGTAATGCTGGTTACTCTTAGCATTAACTATAACTTGATAGTTACTATATTACCTACCTTTGGGTCGTGGGTAAAGTAAAAGCATGGGGACAACTTCATCTTGGTTACTTGATCCACTTTAATGTCCGTTTCAACAGTAGGACAACTCAACACTCCTTTATATCATATCACTCCGCCAATCTTAACCATTGGTAATTCCAATTCCTATTCCAGGTAACATGCATCTTATGTAGTTCCTCATCTGCATTGCAGAACAGAATACAGATATGCTTATATATTATCTTATATATGACGGCTCTATTGAGCCACATATCCCCATAAACTTAAAGAGCAATGACTTTATGAGCTTCTTTTATAATAAAATTATTACTATTAGAGAGAAAATTAATCACCAACTGCCATCAACAGTTATCAGTGGCTCTCCAAGTTCAGGAACTTTAACTAATGTAAACTTAGATATATATTTAGACTGTTTTTCTGTTATCGATCTTCATCAGTTAACTTCAATAATTTCTACATCGAAGCCATCAACCTGTCTATTAGACCCGATCCCAACTAGGCTGCTTAAAGAAGTCATACCCTTAATTGGCACTTCTTTACTGGATATGATTAATCTTTCTTTATTATCAGGATATGTACCACAGTCCTTTAAAGTAGCTGTAATTAAACCCCTTCTTAAAAAGCCCACTCTTGATCCAGGGGTTTTAGCCAACTATAGACCGATCTCTAACCTCCCCTTCCTCTCTAAGATTCTGGAGAAAGTAGTCGCCAAAGAGTTGTGTGACTTTCTAAATAACAATAGTTTATTTGAGGATTTTCAGTCAGGATTTAGAGTTCATCACAGCACAGAGACAGCTCTGGTTAAAGTTAATAATGACCTTTTGATTGCTTCAGACAATGGACTTGTCTCTGTACTTGTATTATTAGATCTTAGTGCTGCATTTGACACCATTGACCATGACATTCTTTTACTTGACTTGAGCATCAAATTGGCATTAAAGGAACCGCTCTAAGCTGGTTTAAGTCATATTTATCAGATCGTTCGCAGTTTGTACATGTTAACGATGAATCTTCAATAAATACTACAGTTGGGCTGCAGTCCTGTATATCTTGCAGAGAGCAACATTTCTCCCACTCGGCTGCATGCCTCTTCTTGAGGTGCTGGAATAAATTTGTCGTTCTGCTACCTTTGGTTGCAACAGCTTTCAAACAAACTTTGCAGTGGGTCGTGGTTTGTTCGCTGTTGGACGCCACAAAACCAAACCAGACGACACTGTGCCTTTTTTGGGGACGAGCTCATCCTGGCTTGCTGCCGTGTTGTGTTTCTCTGTGGAGAGGCAGGGGGAGGGGTCAGCACACTCTGACCTACAGGAGCCCAAAGGGAGCGCCGGTGTTGTGGAAGTTCAAGAGAAAACCGATTTTAACTAAAAATAAATCGTGTTTAACTACGAATTTTGAATTAATCAATAAAATCGATTTATCGCCCAGCCCTAGGTTGCCCCAATAAGTCCATTAAAACGCTCCAATTAATTCAAAACGCTGCAGCACGAGTACTGACAGGAACTAGAAAAAGAGATCACATCTCTCCTGTACTAGCTTCTCTGCACTGGCTCCCTGTAAAATTTAGAATAGAATTTAAAATTCTCACCTATAAAGCTCTTCATGGTCAGGCCCCTTCATATCTTAAAGAGCACATAGTACCCTATTACCCCTCTAGAACACTACGTTATCTGAATGCAGGGCTACTTATGGTTCCTATAGTCTCTAAAAGTAGAACAGGAGCCAGAGCCTTCAGTTACCAAGCTCCTCTCCTGTGGAATCAGCTTCCAGTTGTGGTTCGGGAGGCAGACACCCTCTCCACATTCAAGAGTAGGCTTAAGACATTCCTCTTTGATAAAGCTTATAGTTAGGGCTTGATCAGGTGAGTCCTGAACCATCCCTTAGTTATGCTGCTATAGGCCTAGACTATCGGGGGATTTCCCATGATGCACTGAGCTCCTCTCTTCCTCTCTCTTTCTGAACTCATTCATGTCCCATTAATGCATGTTACTAACTTCACTTCTTCCTAGGAGTTCTTGAGCTTTCTCATCTCGCAGGTTCTTATCGATCCTGGTGGAGTCTTCTGCCATGGTCCTGCTAGATTGCCAGTACCAATACTGTTGTTGCTGTGCACCTGTCTGTCTGTCTGTCTCTCTCTCTCTGTCTTTGTCTGTCTGTCTCTCTCTCTCTCTCTCTCTCTCTCTCTCCCTCTCTCCCTCACCCCAACTGGTCGAGGCAGACGACCATCCATCTAGAGCCTTTTAACAGGCAGTTTTTCCTTGCCCTTGTCGCCAAGTGCTTGCTCATGGTGGTACTGTTGGGTCTCTCTAAATAATGTGATAAGGAGTTCGGTCTAGACCTGCTCTATTTGAAAAGTGTCCTGAGATAACTTCTGTTATGAATTGGCGCTATACAAATAAAATTGAATTGAATTGAATTGAATTGAATTATATATGTAATTATCCTTAATTAATTTATGCAAATTCAATAAACAGTAAAGTAATTCACAAAATAAATCTCATCTTACATTCTTCCCTCTCTTCAGATGAAATGTCCTCATTTCAAAAGTTATGAAAAATAAAAGTCATCTCACACTATTTTGAGAGGAAATGATTTTAAATGTATTTTGTGAAACTTTATTTATTGTTCAGGTGTACAGTGATTTAAAATAAAACTCCATTTTGTATTTATTAAAGGATCAAGCTTAAATGCTGCGACGCTAATTAAAGAACCTCCTTCACACCTTAACCTGCTGCCCCTGCTGCTCAGTTTGACCATTTATCGTTTACACGCTAATCGGCATCACAACAGCTAATGGGTGAGACACGATCCTGAGCATGCAACAAGACACTGAACGGAATAATGAACTTCAGATGTTTCTGTTTATATGAAATGCTAATCTTGTTGTGCTCATTAATAGTTTTAAATCACAGCAGGAGGATAATTCCCATGACCTTGAGGTTGTCATGATGCTTGCACAGTTGCCTTCATGAGTGAAGTCAAAGATATAGCTATGTCCTGCAGTGATGAACGCTGAATTGTGCATGATCCTCCTGAAATGTACTTAATCAGTGCGCTTATTGCTGTAAATCTAATTAGCTGTCCACAAGTTTATTAGTTGTTCATGGCGTGCCATTTTTAGTGTGCGCCCTCTGAGATTAGTCAGAAAAGTTATTCCAAATAAGTGTGGCGCAGTCTTGAATACAGAAAAAGGCATCTTCTGCTGTCTGTGCTGTTGTCTTGTGTAGATTTGTTAGATGGCACACATCTGATGCAGAGCCACATCTGCCGCGACCTCTCTTGCGCACGCCGCGCGCACGGTGGCCTTCGGACGCGTGTGCGTGTGGAGAAAAGAGCGGCACGACACTGACGTCAGATACGGGTGTCAATCGCTTTGTCGGGCCATGTCCATCTGCTTATAAGTGAGGGATCGACCAGGAAACCAGTCAGACATCCAACCCAGGCGGAGGACATTACAGGAGCTCATCCAAAACCAGCAGTGATGCCTCACTCCATGTTCCCCCTGTGCGCCCTGGGACTCCTCGCCCTCTCCTCCGCCTGCTACATCCAGAACTGCCCCCGAGGAGGCAAACGAGCGCTGCCGGAGACTGGGATCAGACAGGTGAGGACCATCCTTTCTGCCTTCTTTTAGGGAAATCATCTTTAACTTTCTGAAATGTTCTTATTTTTCCTTCCTATTTTAGTTTAAATTGGAAATTTCCTAAGCTGCCTTTGAGCCTATTCTATGTATACTAACAATATTAATGATTGTAATTCTATAAGGAAAATAAGGAAAATTCAAAGTATAAAATTAGGGAAATAAATGTACAAGATGAGATTTAATATCATTGGTTTAGTGATTTTTGTTCAGATGCAACCCAGGCTTTTTAACTTACTAAAAACTGAACAAAAGATGGAAAGGACCGTAATAATAATCAGTTATGATAGCAATAACAAACTAGATTAGAAAAACAAATGTAAAGTTGCATATGGTATGTGAAGGACATTTTATTTCCAAAAGATAGCAACAAATGCCTAATAATAATAATAATTTTATTTTTATTTAATGTTTTATTTAAATCATATTTTATTTATAGAGCACTTTTCAAGAAACTCATAGACACACATAAGTTAAACGGACCTGCGGCCCTTTACTGCGTGTCATACCCTCTCTCTCTGCCCCACTTTCCTGTTTACCTTTGGCTGTCTCTATCAATTAAAGGCAATAAAAAGCCCCAAAAAATACTTACAAAAAAAAATGTGTGCATATGATAAATGTGTGTACTGAAGCTTATAAGGGAAACAAAAACTGCATGACATTTAAAGGGTTTTTTAATTGTTTTCATTGTCACAATTTCTGGTGTAGAAACAAATTAATAAACGCATAAGAAATATACTCAAACTTATACCAAAGAAACACAAATGAGCAACAGAAATTCTGCAGCCATTATTGCTATCCAGTATTTATAAATCTGCCTTTTCCTGACACTGACATAATGACACAATCGACACAATGAGAGTGATGAGTGAAAATGTCATCTGAACATTAAACAAATACATTGTCAGATTAGAATCCCACAAATACAAGTGGCGTGATTTATAGCATCTTATTAACGCTTAAATCTGTTTTCCTCCAGTGCATGTCTTGTGGCCCCAGAGACAGGGGCCGCTGCTTCGGCCCCAGTATCTGCTGCGGGGAGGGCCTCGGCTGCCTGCTGGGCTCCCCAGAAACAGCCCACTGTGTGGAGGAGAACTACCTGCTCACTCCCTGCCAGGCGGGAGGGAGACCCTGTGGATCTGAGGGAGGACGCTGCGCTGCTTCAGGGCTCTGCTGTAACTCAGGTACTGGTTTGATTTAATACAATTGGCATGTTTGTGCAAGTTAAGAAGTGAATTAGTTTGGGGGAACAGTTTGAATAACATTCCTCTCCTCTCCTCCTCCCCCTCAGAGAGCTGTGCGGTTGACTCTGACTGCCTGGGAGAGGCCGAAGTCTCAGATCCAGCAGACAGCTCTGCAGGGAGCTCGCCCGCAGAGCTGCTGCTCCGCTTGCTGCATGTGGCCACCAGAGGACAGACTGAGTACTGATACTGTTCGGAGCTTCCTCTGCTTCTCAGGGCCTGGAGGTGCAGAATGAAGACCATCGCCGTTCCACTAAAAGCCTTTCGCAATTTAAACCCTTAACCAATAAAGTGCCAAGTCAAACTTTGTTCTCTCTTAACCCCTGCTGTTGTGATATTTCTGTATCTGTAAAGACAGAAAGAGAACTATCTTCAACCTTAGTAATTGGCTATTTTTATCATGTTTGTTCCCGCCATAGAAATGTATATATTAATGCACATACTGTAAACAAATTGTATTCTATATGAGGGGGATGTAACACGCCTCAGAGCTCCATTTAAAATAAGTTATAGCAGAAAATAATGTAAATACTTTAGAGATTGAAGATTAAGGTTGCCACAGACATATATGTAAAGCAGCTGAATGAAATGTTAGAGCATACTTCTTGTGTCGTAGAAATATCATTGTATATTGAAAATGGGAGAAAAATACAGAATGTATCACTGCCAAAAAAACTTCCGCCGTCTGCTCTCATTATTCTCAAGCTCAAAATGATTATATCTTTACCAGATGAGTCACTGAGGAAAAGTGTTTATCTCTTGTCTTATCATGTATTAGTTTTGATCACTTGAACTATTTCCAGCAGACACAATTTGTTAGGGTGCCACCATTTACAGCAAACTAAAATTAATGTTAATACTGATATAAGGGTCAAGAAGGGACAACAAAGGCTGGACTGTTTTAATAGGATTCAGTGTTTTAAGGTAGATTCAGAAGGGGCTGTTATAAATCATTTATTGAGTACACATGCTCACACATCAGTTGTTTCATGAATTGACAGTGTTTAAGAGGAAACCAGTCCAATGCCCTGCAGTCATCTCCTTCAAGAACACAACTTTCTCTGTTGTGTATCAACATGCCCAATATGCGAAGATGAAGCAAAGTGAACCCTAATCGTCATATTTCCTTGGATGTGATGATTGAAAGCTGATGTTTATGCCAGGACCATATGTGGTGGCAGTTTATCTGTAATTTGTTACAGATCCAGCTAGAGCAGGACTTAGGACCTCCCAGATTCTGACAGTTACATGTTGACTGATTCAAAAATTGTTGTACATCTGATTTAGAAATCTTGTTTCCTTTTACTTTGAAAAACCTTCCATGGTTTAGCTGAAACATTATCGGCATTTTCATGAGGAATGTCATCAATTTTGTGTTTAGAATTTCTTTCTTTCTTTCTTTCTTTCTTTCTTTCTTTCTTTCTTTCTTTCTTTCTTTTAAAGTACCAGTGTGTAGGATTTAGTGGCATCTAGCGGTGAAGTTGCAGATCACCACTCCGTTGCTACCCTCCCCTTACAAGCGCAAAGGAGAAACTACGGTGGACGCAAAACGTGCAAGAAACGTGAATGTCCTATCTAGAGCCAGTTTCCCTTCTGGGCTACTGTAGAAACATAGCGGTTCAACATGGCGGGCTACATGGAAGGTGACCCGCGGCATCTGTAGATATAAAAAGGTCATATGGTAACAAAAAATAACAGTTCCTATATTCCGATAACCGAGAACACTTGTATTGAATCAGTTTTTATATGAGGATAAGTTATGTGCATGCTTTGCAAGTGTACATTCAGAGATGTTTAGGTTTTTTGGGGAAAATACAGTAGTTGAATAACCATTTTCTCTGTATGGTGCAAATGTATTAAGTGGCATATTTCTGTTCATATTGACATCTAAAGTTTAAATGAGCAAGTGCATGTGTTCTAAGAAAAGCAGAGAGATGTTGCCATTGTTAGCTGTTTAGCTTTAGTTATAGAGAGATGGTATTAAACTTGTTCCAACATGTGAACCTTCAGCCAGTTGAATCAGTTTAAGTGGGAGTATTCTGTCATCCAGTAATCACCATAGTGTCATACAAAACCTTCAGTCCTGTTCAGCTTTATGGTATCCAGCATTGATGTTCAACTTTTTTTGCATTTTATCTGCTTATCTTTAAAGCCAAACCCCAAATAGTCCGAAATGGTATAATGTGCTCTAGGAAAAAGGTTAAGCACTGATATTGTTTTGTACAAACCTAAATGGTATAACATTTCCAATCACAGAAATTATTATAATATAATATTAATATTATAATATTCCATTCCATTCTCCATAAAAACTAGCAATGACAATAAAAAGAAATGCTCAGCCATAAGGATGTTATCTGAAACTGAAACATAATTTACTTTCCTTGTTGGTTCACAGACTGTATTTAAAGGGCAGGAGCAAGCCCATATGTGTTGATCTCAGCTATAAGAAGGACCTGGACAGTTCCTATATTCAGATGATTTTACACAAATGAAAACATAACTATGGATATTATATTACATTCTGCCAATAGAGCCTCCTAAGTGTTACACACTGGACCTTTTAATATTATATCAACAATCCAATATTAACACATTTAAATGGATAAAGCACACTCATTTTGATAATGTGATCAAAACAAATCTTCCAGATTGAATTTACAAAAAAAGTGTCAGAAAGTGTCAAGCTGACACCTATGTCAAACTGACAGTAAGGGAACAAAATAAGTCTTGTGATTTGAAGGCTTATTATGGGATCAGGTAGGTAGTGTTGCATGCTCAAAACTGAAGAGCAAACCAAACATTACACAGACACTATTCTCGTTTTGACTGTTAACCACATCATCAGCTTTCCCAGATTCAAATAAACATCCAGTTAGTCAATAAAGTATTCATGCTACCATAAAAATTCCCCTGGGGAGCAGTTTCAGATTTTTTTCCACCGTAATTATATTGTACCGTTTCCACATTCAAAGAAATTGCACAACATGTTACAAAGATTAACCAGCCACACCTGAGCACACAATGAATGCAAAATGTTTTCTTTTCACCTGCCGTGCAGCGTCTGCAGTGTTAGGTCAACAGTCTATCTTGCTTTTAGGTCATTCAAGTCTTTGTCAACACCTAAATCTTTTGTTCGACAAGTATTGATGTCTATGTTGCCAAATTTTAGATATCATTTGCCTGACTCAGTAAATTATTATTTTTATCTCTTCTTTCCACTGATTCATGAGCTTGAACTCAGGCTGAAGGATTATTCCCATGATCATTACTCCATTACCTGTACTAGGTATAAATTATTTTTCAACATCAAAACATTATTACAGAGCCACGTTGTAGTCACACAATTTACATACATAATTTGTCTCAAGACTTTAAATATAAAACATGATATGTCTAATTTCTCCTGATTCTTTTTATGCCGATGTTTGACTGTTTAAAGGCTTTTAAAGACCTGGTTGTTTTTTTTTTGCTTAAAGATCCTCTCCAGACACATATACAAATAGTCTGCTTGGAACAATAAGTGTGTGATGTTTTCCACCTTATTAAAATATGAATATGCAAATTTTGTTCACTTCTAAGGTTTTCCTTCTGGACACAAGAGGTCTCCTAATTCTCAGTGTTTGTGCACTGAAGTTTCAAACAAGACCAGGCCAAACTTTCCACTTTCAGCAGATGAATGTAAAAGCATTCTTCTTGTGTCAGACTTTTGCACATATATCATTCTGCACAGTGAAAATCAAACATCCAACTGTACACTTTAGACTGGAGGGGGACTATAAACTGACATTGGACTGAATAAGTTTCCATTTGAGTTTGATTGTTTAACCTGACGTATAAACCCTATCTTTCGTGACTCTGGGTGTGGCATTTGCAGAGTTTTCATTCCATCAATCAATCAAATAAAATCCTGTTAAAAGAGTGACTATTAAACCTGTTGCAGCCTGTCTGTGTCGAGCATACCTGTACCACACATTCATCCAGCAGTTGGATTCAAAATGAAAGTTAAATTCTTTTTCATGAAGAGTTTTACACAGACTGCGGGTTAATTACTCTGTCATGGAAAGTTTGGGCACACACTCACACAAGGGGGGGGTTCAGTCCCAGTATATAAACAGTGAGGAAACAATTCCCTCCACTCATTTGCTGCCACCATGGATCTAAAAGTTGCGTTTGTGATTGTCTGTCTGTGTGCTTTCGCCATAACCTCTACTGAAGGTAACTATCATGTAAAAAAACAATTGAATCAGTTTTTATATGAGGATAAGTTATGTGCATGCTTTGCAAGTGTACATTCAGAGATGTTTAGGTTTTTTGGGGAAAATACAGTGGTTGAATAACCATTTTCTCTGTATGGTGCAAATGCATTAAGTGGCATATTTCTGTTCATATTGACATCTAAAGTTTAAATGAGCAAGTGCATGTGTTGTAGGAAAAGCAGAGAGATGTTGTTAGCTGTTTAGCTTTAGTTATAGAGAGATGGTATTAAACTTCCAGCATGTGAACCTTCAGTCAGTTGAATCAGTTTAAGTGGGAGTATTCTGTCATCCAGTAATCACCATAGTGTCATACAAAACCTTCAGTCCTGTTCAGCTTTAAGGTATCCAGCATGATGATGATTGATGTTCAACTTTTTTTGCATTTTATCTGCTATTATCTTTAAAGTCAAACCCCAAATCATCCCAAATAGTATAATGTGCTCTAGGAAAACGTAAAGCCCTGATATTGTTGTACAAATCTAAATGGTATAACATGTCCAATCACAGTAATTGGAAGATTGAAGACACAATTCATTAGTCTAAAAATAATTCAATCAATTATAATATTCCATTATAAAAAAATTGTAATGTCCAACATACTTCTTCATAATTGTTCTTAACCCCGCATTGCAGCTGGCATTGCAAAATGCTGCATCACAACACAGAAAATCCCCAAACGGCTGCTGCTGAAGGTTCAGAGATGGAAAGAGCAGACAAGTGACGGCGCCTGTGACATCCGTGCACTGGTGTAAGTGTTGAAGATCAATAATGAACCAAATGATTACAGTGATTCTGCAGTATAGAATCCTTTATTCATATCAAATTCATGTTATTCTGTATACAGTCTAAACCTTGTGGAAAACTAGCAATGACAATTAAATTAAATGCTCAGCCATAAGGATGAGTGCAGTCATGTAATATGGTTACATATAGAAAAAATGTGGTATATTTTTTGCTGTTGTCTGAAACTGAAACATAATTTCCTTTTCTTGTTTGTTCACAGACTGCATTTAAAGGGCAGGGACAGGCCCATGTGTGTTGATCTCAGCTATAAGAAATACCTGGAAAGGCTTATGCGGAAGCAGCACTCAAAGAGAGGAGCTTACAGAGCATGAACAATTTCACAAACTTTGTGTACTGTGTTTTCTACAGTTGGTGTTATACATACAAAAGTGATTGTTTCTTTTTATTAATTATGCAAAATATCAAGATTAACTTGTGAAAAGCAGCTATTCACTACTACATATATACAATGGTGGAAAGTTACTAAGTACGTTAACTCACATGCTGTACTTTGTGAAGGTGGTTGTAATTGAGTTGTTCCATTTTATACTACTACTACCTTTTATCACACAACATTCTAGGGGGAAATATTGTACTTTTTACTCCACTAAATTTATACAGCTATAGTTACTTTTCAGATTAATATTTTAAATACAAGACATATAATGATTTATATAATCTGATTATGTTATAAATTAAATTACCTAATAGTATGTGAAGCGGTTAAATCGGCTCAACTGTCTGTGACATTAAAGTGCAGCTTCCATTTTAATGTAGTGATAATAATGATCCAGTAATAGAATTATATAACACTGACAGGGACTGTTCTGCATTAAGAGTACTTCTACATACATTTTACTTATAATGGAGTTATAGGTATTGCTACTTGTACTGAAAATGATGTGAATACCTCTTTCACTGCTGCATTTATACAAAAATTGTAAAATAAAAAATAAAAAGCCTCAATAAAATGTTTTTCGTGTGTTGTTTTTCCTTTGATGTTATTTTTATGTGTGCCTCCAAATGTCTACAGTCGTGGTGATGATGATCTAATAAAAGAGTTCTGAATGCAACACTGCTATTAGGTATTACTAACTAGTATTTTGAGAATGATACAGGTCCAAATTTTGTTTCAGGGACTTTCTGATAAAGCTATAAGGCTCAATGGTCTGGGCCAACAGTGGGCATCAGTGGACACTCGTGAATATCATATTAATACTGAATTTAATTTGTATTTTGTAATACATTTTCACATCTGAGTGTTCTCTGTCATAACCTATTTGTGCCAGATGATGAGAGCAAGAGACGTCTGAGCACTCAAAGACTACTGATGGAACTTTTTATATATGAGTAATCCATGATTATTGTAACTTGAAATGTAACTCAAGATCTTTAAAGAAATGAAAGTAAAATGGAAATGAACGTTCCTTGTTCTGTTTTCTCCTCTGATCAAAACCCTGACCCGCTCCCCTCCTTTGTCTCCTCTGACTAATCCCACAGAGACAAGCTGCTACATAAAGGCTAAAAGCTTCTTGAAAGCGTGACTGAGCTGATTGATTTCATTCCAAAGTGAGTGATCCTCTTTAAAAACGGTGTTAAGAAAGATTGTATCCAACACTGCCGCAACATTTCACTCAGATTTTTAGATAATTACTTTACTTACTTAAATAAAACAATAATGGATGGTTGTCTACTAAATACTACTAAAGTGTTGTCAAGATGCAATCTCTAATACTTGACTTCACTACTAGGTATTACATTTTGAAGTGCTAAATATGTGGAGGGTGAGGCGAGGGTGTTGCAGCAACAACACAACTAGATGCCACTAAATCCTGCATACTGGTGCTTTAGATCATCTAAGGCTGCAAGAAAGTGCGCACCCATGAAATGCTGACACTGCTTTTAGTATTCTGCCGCATTAAACATTCAATCCGGAAAAGTGTGAAATAAATCTGCTTGTTTTGTGCACAAATACAAGCAAAAGCAAACTCAGAACAGGCCTCAGGCTGCATCTGATATTGCTGTAGTTGTACAGCCCTCCAGGTTACATTCATGAACGATTACTCAGAAGCTTTTATGTGAATCCTCACTTTGAGTCCTATTACTACCCCAGTTATACAGTACACCCATTATGTGGTCATTTTGGACTTAGGTGACGTCTTATCAAAATCAATCAAAAGTGGCCATGTAAAAGCTGGTTGACAAAATAAGGTGAAAAATAATCTATTGTTCACCACTTCAATCACAGTCACCAACATAGAGCTATTAATCTGGTTAAGATGGCTGTTATGATGATGAATAACTCATCTCTTTGAAACAGCAGAAAACCACCTGCAGCAAATTGCAGTAATCTGCCCTTTGAGTCACTCTGGCTCTTAGAAATACTTTCTCATATGTGTCTGCTTGAGTCAGAACAAGTTTCTCCAGTTGTCAAACAGCCTTTAATGTGAAGAGACTTTCGACATCTTGAGCTATTCACCCAAAAAGTTCTTATTTGTCACCACACCAGCAAATCCAGCAGTTAAAATGTCAATCAGGGCCCATGACATCAGCAACAGTGTATGAAAAAATATTGGGAGAACAAACAAGATAGTGTCAGATGGGGTCACAGCACAAAGTTACCGTAGAAACACACAAAACATGTCACAGCTGTGCAATGTTGAACTCTTGCCGACAGCCTAATCTGTTATCATTATTCTCCCGGCACTGTATCATCAACAGCATTAAACTGTCAGGAAGGTTTGGCTGTGCCTCATCTTGCCTCAAAAGGCATTATGTTGAAAAGTTGATCAATTTTTATTATTTTATTTATTATTATTATTTGCAACTTTAATGTAAATGAGAAATAGATGGCCCTAAGCAAGTAAGAATACAATAGAGCAGACTTGTACAAACAACTGCTAAAAGTGAATCTGAAGAAGAAAGTGCCTGTGGTTAACACCGCTCTATCAATTCAAGATGTTTTCTTTTACGAAAAAAGACTTCACAGATATGATGCAATAGCACCCTCTAGTGGAAGACTGATCACAATCAGCTTTATTGGCCAAGTGTGTGTACATGTATGAATATGACTCAAGTTGCTCTCAGTGTTTTTTATATATATATATATATATATATAATAAAAATACAAATAAAAACAATGATAACAAAGTTGAACAAAGATAAAGTAAACAGAACTACAAGTAGCTGAAAAATGCAGCAGAGGTAAAAACAAATAGAGATACCATTAGAAATGAAAAGTGGTGTGTAAAGGAATGTACTGTACAACTGTGATCTTCATTGATATTAAACTCCTCCCCAGGTTTGAGTGTGTTCATGCTGAATAGAAAATGTTTGTCTGGTAATGTACTCGACACAAGCAGACCCACGTGCCCCTGCAAAGTAGCACCACATTCTGCATACAGTACTTTCTGCTTAGTTTCACTCAGGAAACTGACTCCAAAATTATATCATCCTGCTTGCTTTGGTTGATCTTATCTTCACTTTCAGACAACTTGTTACAGCCCTTGACTCTGTTAATACCTAATAAACAATGAATAATAATCTGCACATATTAGCAAGATGGCTTTGAGAAACCATACAATCTGATATCAAGCATCTCAGGTCTCAGATTAATGACTATGGGTAATGTAGTAGTCTTCTTCTACAAAGTGCTTTTTTTATCAGCATAATTGTCTCAACAAATGTAACATGCCAGTACAACTTTATCCACTCAGATCTATTGGTAACAGTTATTGTCTTCCAAACCGCAGATTTATGGGTGCAGCACACAGAGTGTTACAGAAAGTGCTTTACTTACCTACTGAAGTGTGGTGACTACTTTTAGTCTAACAGTGTAGCATAACTAGTTACAGCTAGCATAACTAGCATACAGTTCCTCAGATATATATGTGTGTGTATATATATATTCTATTCAGCATGAACACACTCAAACCTGGGGAGGAGTTTAATATCAATGAAGATCACAGTTGTACAGTACATTCCTTTGCACACCACTTTTCATGTCTAATGGTATCTCTATTTGTTTTTACCTCTGCTGCATTTTTATATATATATACACACACACATATATATATATATATACGTATATGATATGAGGCTTTGAGTGATATCTTTTTTTCTCCACAGAATGAAGAGATACTTGTTAGTGAAATATGTACACATTAAAACTGGGTTAAGCTGTACATGGTTACATATGTTAACAGAACATTTGCTGTAGCTAATCATTTATGACCGTTTACCGAGGTAAAATGTCCACATGTGAGCTACTGACCAGTAGAGTCAGCCGAAGAGCTTGCAAATGTGTGACAACACTATTATGCCAAAAATAAGTATAGTCTTCCGTCCACATACTTTATGTACCATGGTTTTGGATTTGCATGTTTAACTATCATGCATGAGTTGAAATTCAGCTCATTGCAGCCACATCCTTTAAGCCATGAGCTTCAGTCTGATAAACAATGTGTTTACTGTAGGTTGTAGATTTATTAAGTAATTAAGCTTAGCAGTAAACTTGAGTAATTTGCCACTACAAACTGTTTAAGTTACAGATTGGGGCGAAAAAAAGATGATTAACAGAAATAAAGCTCAGGTTATGCAAACTTTCCACACGTCCAGACTTTTTAAAGCAAGACTCGACCAGATTTTCAAATTAATCAAGAAAATTACTTTTACTTTTTCACAGCAGCCAGTTTAACATCAAATAGTAGGGTAAACACCACCAATGTTACCAATGATGCTAATTACGGTTAAATTAAAGCCTCTGCAACACTAAATGGAACTGAACCTTAATAAGTATCATTGATAACACCTAGGGTTTAACCTATTTCATCTCAAAATGGCTGCTGTGAAAATTGTCTATTAAGGAGAAACGATGGAAAAGGAAGTTAATAAATCCCCCTTGCTCCAGTTATTAGTAGCTTGTTTAAATAAAGTTTGCAAGGAAAATGGGAAAAATAAAAAAATAAAAAAAGATTCTCTAAAAGTTTGTTGATGTCACGTGACTTCCTGTTAAGGATGGACCAACCATTGTGGTTGACGTCCGCCGTCTAGTCCCTGCCACTAAAACCAGGAATTACTCCGCCTCAGAAGAACAGTTTGTAAAGGTGTCTTTCTCGTGTCTGACAATGTCCGCCAAAGCCTGTCCAGAAACTGTTGAACACTCCGTCCAACTCAAGTTCTTCTCCGCCGTGTTTTACGCCGGCAGCTCGTTTCTCATCACGGTGGTGAATAAAACAGTGCTGACCAGTTTCAGGTATGTGTCGCTTTATTCGCGCTGTCATCGAGTCATTCATGCTCTGTCAACGGAGAAAGGCTCACACACACACACACACACACACACACACACACACACACACACAGAGGGAGCTTATGCCACTGAATGAGTGATTCATGGAGTCACACTGAGCCCGCTTTAATACTCTTGATGTGGTGGTTTTGCAGGTTTCCCTCCTACATGTGTCTGGGAATTGGTCAGGTGAGTGGTTTTTCTTTACCTCCTTTTTTCTGTCTCTCTCTCTCTCTCTCTCTCTCTCTCTCTCTCTCACTCTCTCTCTCACACACACACACACACTCACACATTTCATGCTCACTTTGCTCACTTTCAGATGATCACCACTCTTGTTGTCCTTTATGCTGCCAAAACGAGCAAAGCAATCCAGTTTCAAGATTTTGACAGAACTGTACTCTTAAAAGTAAGTGTTGCTCAAAAAAACATTTATTTTCTTTTTATTCAATTGTGTTGTGTTTTTCAAACTATCTATTATTCTCTTGCCAGATGTTCCCTCTTCCTTTGCTGTATGTTGGGAACCATATAACGGGACTGGCGAGCACCAAAAAACTAAGGTTTAACCAGCTTGGCTTCATGTTATCTAATTTAGCAGACTTTGGTCCTTAAGTTTCACAGTGCTCATTTATGTGCTCTTCTGAAAAACATGTTGTCTTTTACAGTTTACCCATGTTTACAGTGTTACGGAAATTCACCATATTGATGACAATGATCTTGGAGGTCTATATACTAAGGTAAGACATTTTATATATTGTTTTTGGAGCTTTGGAGCACTTTATAAATGACAGTTAACCTCATGACAGAACTGGTCTGAAAGTACCGTACATTATGTATCATGCTGCACTCTGACATGGAGATTTATAATAAGTTTATAATTAACAAAATAAGAGCTTTTGTTTTTGGTCTGAATGTTTCAGTGTTCCTTTTTTCAGAAAAACGTTTTCTAAGCGCCTTGTGTACAGTGTCGCAGCCATAGTTCTTGGTGCCATGGTTGCTGCAAGGTATGGATATTCAAAGTAAATAAATTGAAGTAGAATTTTTATTTTTTTTAATGCAGACAAAACACCTGTTCTTTCCTGACATCTGCCCCTCTCCTCCAGTTCTGACCTGGCCTTCGATGTGGAGGGATATACTTTCATCCTGCTCAATGATGCCTTCACTGCCGCCAGCAGTGTGTACACCAAGAAGAAACTTGGCACTGAGGTACATAGACAGGATTTACTGGCGGCTAAATGTTTGTGTAGGTGTGATTAACTGCTTTATTTGGTACCTGACAAATTATACGGTTAAACAAGATTGAATTACTACACAGCTGTCCTCGCAAATTCTTTGTTCACCGAAGACCATTGCTAGGAAACAGTGGGTTTGGACAGTTACTAACAGCTCATACAGTGTGTCGTCGATAGATTACATTAACATTAATATTCTATGCATGCTATAGTATCAAGAATGGTTAAAGAAAATTTGGATGTTAGAGTTTTTACTTTATACTTTATACTTTACTACTTTATATGGTGTCAACAAAGGAGGTGGCTTTGATTCTGTTAGGCCACCCTTTAAGCAAACAGGATCTCAAACACACCATCTCCTCAGTGGCACACACACTATACATACAAGAATATAACAATATTAAGCTAGGACAATAGCAGGTGACACCCTCTCAACCACATATTTTAAAACCCCCCACTTTCTTGTCCCTATTATGATTTTAAATACTGACAGCCTTTGACTTATTTGCCTCATAGAGGTAAAATATTATTAATTAATTATTGATACTTTCCAATAACACCATGAAGTAAAAGTAACTTTTTAGGTTTGCTCTTTGTTACATCTCCACAAATGACCTGTGTATGTTTGATTATGGTCACACTATATCTAATATTTTCTTCTTGCTTTGTCAAGGGCCTTGGGAAATATGGTGTCTTATTTTACAATGCACTCATCATTATCATCCCCACTCTCATGGCAAGTGCATTTACTGGAGATTTACACAAGGTACATATAGTAACTGTGATCCAGTGACTTCTTTCTGTGTGTTTGTGCCCAAAACTGTATGCTTTTCCTGTTTGACCACCTTGTATGTTTTGATCCACAGGCAGTAGCATATGAGGACTGGGTTAAAGCCACATTTATTATGTGTTTCCTCGTGTCCTGCTTCATGGGGTATGTCACTATAATTGAGTTCAAACTGTTTAATTACACCTTTGTGGCATTTTTCCAATACTGTCTCAGCCTATCCAGTTATTTTAAGACTGTTTGGTTTTTCAGGTTTGTGCTGATGTACTCCATAGTCCTGTGCAGCTATTATAACTCAGCACTTACTACCACAGTAGTGGGAGCAATAAAGGTAAGAACACACTGATAAGCATTCTATTTTTAGACTAGAAAGCACACACAGTGCATACTGTATCTCCACTAAGTGTCCAACTGTCCAAATGTATTATTTTAATGATACAAAAATGTTTAAAGTTCTGGCCTGCTTGTGTCTGGATTCTACATCACGCATGTGTTGTTGCATTTTTTATCTCTCCGATTTCTGCTGACAAGGTTATAATACCATATTACATTTTTCTTCAGAATGTTGCAGTAGCCTATATTGGCATCTTTGTGGGTGGAGACTACCTGTTCTCTTGGGCTAACTTCCTTGGACTCAGTATATGGTAAGAATATTTTGTTTACACATTTGTATTGTGTTTAATATATATGTGATTAACAACATCTTTTTTCTTTTAAATGCAGTAATAAGCCTTACCTGACTACAACTGAAAATTGTCAGAAGCGTTTGATGTGACCAAACAGTCAAACATATGAGGCCACATTTCTTAACAAATTTACATTTCTTGTTTGATAAGAGCAGCGTTGTGAGATTTAATTCCATTGCCAAGCCAAATTCCAATCCAGAGCAAAACAAGAATATACAAACTCAGATAAGATTAGTTAATGCGTTATTAACCACTAAGACTAATATGCCTGTTGTTTTTGTTATAACATGCATCTTAGAACTAAAGCTCATTGTCTAACAGCTGAGCAGTTCTAGCAACAATTAGTTTCCATTGCCTAACAGTTGATTGCTTTTATCTTTTGCTTTGCAGCATGTCAGGTGGACTAGCATACTCATATTTCACCTTTAACACCACCTCATCGAGAAGTAGCACAGCAGGAGAAAAGGAGCTGAAGATTCACATTACAGAAGATTCAACAGGGAAGTACTAACTTAATGGACAATATTTTAGCATTCACCACTTGGTGGCATTGTTCTGCTCCATATTGGAGCATAGTATTGCTTCTACACTTTTATTTTATATTAATTTAAAGGTTCCATATGTAACATGGTAACATATGGTATATGTGTACCATTGTTAGTAATGACACCGGTGGCCATTATTTAAACTGCAGCCAGCAACCTGATATAAATCCACAGGCAACTGTGATAGTCAGGGGGAAGGCCTCATTTTTTAAGTTCTGTTACAAGATGTTAACTTATTGCAATAAAAAGTTAATACATAAAAATAATATGTACAATGCTTCAGAATACTACATATGGAACCTTGTTTTATCAATGTATTCATTTCCCCTGGATACATTGCTGGTGCTACCTTTTTAATTTCACTTATAAATCGTGACTAAATAAATTGACAAGGACACATAAATTCTGGGTCAAGTTCAGTGAATGTTTATTTTAGACCAACAATTATATAACAGTGTGGACAACCTGTCAGAGAAATCTTACCTTTTGAAATGTGTAATAAAATGTCTACCAAGCAAGCTCTATACATGTCACAAACTGTTGGAGGATGTTAGCAGAGGGGAAAACTGAAACTAAAATGACTGAAACGTCAAAGCGCTCCACATATTGTGCACACTCAATACTCTAACAAACACAATGTGTATATATTAAATGCCATACTCTTCTCGAACCACAAATAGACTACGGGTTAGAAAGTCTTAAAAATATACTATAATTGGGTAAAATAAATCATTTGGTGTTTTGATTATCAACAATTCACTTGCCTTCCAGTTTCACAACTCCTCGTGGGTAATTTGTAAATCAGACAGATTCAAACATCACAGCTAGAGTGATGGAGTGACTGGTTGTTGGTGTGGGTTTTTACCAAAACAACCAGACAGGGCAGTTATGAGAGGCTTCATACAGTGTTCAAGGATGTAGTGTTATTTAAAAAAAGAGGAAATAAAGAAAAGAAACACCCAGCACTACACAAATCAGTTTTTGAAACAAGTGCCATTTTCCTGGACACGTATGACAAATTTAATCTTCAGTGCATTGCAAGCTCAATCCAAGACTTAATGGGGGGGTGTAAGTGCTTTATCAAAATTGATGGGATGTTTAAATGTATTTGGCATATTCTAAATTGATTTTAGGTTTTTTAAATCGTGATGCCAGAATATTTGACATCAAATGATTCCAGGGCTCTCGAACAGTTGAACAAAATGTTAATAAAAAAAAAATATGGTGAAATAAATATCACATAATTTAACCTTTGAAGTGAGATGAAGCACCACACACCATCCATGATGCTATGCCCGTATCATAACTGGTCTGCCACCTTTTAATATAAAAGGTGACTGATATCCATTGTAGAAAAAAAAAACAAGTCCCATCTGGTTGGAAAACAACTTTAGGCCTTAGACACAGAAAAAACGGCTGTTAAAATGGAAATATGGCATATTTTTTAAAGGTACTCTGAACCTTTGAACCAAGTATTGTAGAATATTAGTTGTAATACTTTTGTAGCTAAATCCAGCAGGCAGTATAGTGGGCTAGAGGTGGACTTCCTGCACACCTCTGGTAATGTCATGCAGATATAATGTGTATGTAATGGGAAAAAAAAGCTGTCAAAGTTTGGATTTTTTTTTTTTTTCAGTCTTGTGCTTAACCAGACCTCTGGATTAGGCTTGCAATGATCACCTCTCACTCGCATATAAAAAATGACCATACCATTACACGCCATGCAGATCCAGCCCCCTTGACTTTTCTCCTTTTTTTTTTTTTTTGTCCACCTATGCATACATCTTGGAGAGTGCTCTATAAGTGAGAATTAACCAATCCTCTCTCAGTCCGTTTCTACCACCACTGGCAGTTAAAGTATGCTTACAATGCTGAAGATGAAACCTGGGAGCATGATGAGAGGCCATCTGACAGTTGGAACGCAACTTAACATTTCCTATGTTTGACCACACCCTGTATCATTCTGTCCATCTGAGCTTAAACCATATATACATCAGTCATACACACTCTGTTACACTCAACACAACATACTTAAAAAAAAACTCGTTACCATCAAAGTGCAAACAAAACAAATTAAAACAAACTCTTTCTCTGCCTTTAGAAGACAGGAGAAAGAAAGACATTCTTCATATTGTCAAATCTACAATTATAGCAGCCTAAAAGGATAAAATGGAAGCTGAATAAGGTGCTTTAGCTTGTGCCTTCCTGGTGCTGTGAGGGGTTAAATAGATGATGCTTGTGCATAATACTGATCTCAGGCCAATTCAGCTCTTTCTCAAAGTCTGGTTTTACAACTTGATAGGATAAACTAAACTAGTCATTGATCTGCATTTTTGAACAATTTCTAGCTACAGCACATACTGCAGGAAGGCGGATGGAGGTATGAGGGACAGGGAATGGGAGTCCAGGATCAGGACGTGGGTAGGTGTTTAGGCAGACAGGTTGTTGGCCAGCTCAATGAGAGCCAGAGCGCCGTGGAGACGCTCTCGTTGCTCCTGGAGGCGGCGCTTGGCGGCTCCTCCTCCTCCCTGGCTGCCCTTCTCCTCCTCAGCGGCCTCTTCCTCTTCTTCGGACTGGAGAAACTCCATGGGATCCTGCTGCTCCTGGTCCTCTGCTCTCGCCTTGCCCTGTGGCTTCACCTTGGTGGTTGTAGGGGCACGCTGTTCACGGGTTTGCCAGTACCTGCAAGGACATGAGAGTATATTAACATACAATCTACGCAGAAAAGTTCTACTATGCAAAACAGGTCATTCCTGCTCAGTCTACCTGTTAAGAGCACTGGTGTGTGCAGTCTTGTGTATTCACTTACTTTGCCAGCCACTCTGCAACAGCCTTGTTATCCACAGACTGGGCCTTCTCCAGGCCGTCCTTTGGTTCCTCTCTCTTCAGACGGGAGTAAGGGTGCTTGGGGCAGTGGCGGTTGGCATGTGTGAACCGATTGCCACATCCTGCAGAGAAAGCATCAGGTATAAATAGATGCACTAAGCCACTAAAGGTTATGTTCATCTGTTATTTTAAAAAGAAAGAATGGATCTGTTTTTTTTTTTATCAGTAAATAATGTCTTGATTTTTTGTTGTCAATAAAAATGTTTTTAATCTTCTGCTTGTACATTTATGTTACAATAGATAGTTACACTGTCAGGTTTGTGTTTACTGGGTACTTTCCAAATGCTTCAAATATAACTCCACTGATTAAAAGTCAGTCACACTAACTGAGCCACATTTCATGCCATTGGAAAGTACCTAAAGTACCAATTTGGACTGTTGTTTTTTCAAAACAATAACACTTTAATAAAACTCTGTTCATTTCAATAGCATGGACATTTCCAAAATCTACTTTTCAAACCTACCTTTCTCCGAGCAGACAAAGGGTTTTTCCCCGGTGTGCAGCCGCTGGTGCGTCTTCAGCTGACCGCTCTGGACAAATGCCTTCCCACAATTTGGGTAGTCACACAGATAGGGCCTCTCTCCTGCGGGGAAAGAGATATTGTTGAGGCAATGGTATTGTAATTGTTTTGCCTCTCATATGATATACACATACAGTACACTACTTTCAAACGTGAACACAAATGAAAACGTAGAACACACCTTTTCTCAAAGCCCCTGTCCTTTTTGACAAAAAGCCAATTATAATATAATATAATGCTTTTAAAAAAAAAAACAATTCACTGCATCCACCTCCCTGTCCCTCTCACCTGTGTGTGTCCTCTTATGAGCCTGAAGAGACTTCTCTCTGGGAAACACCCGGTTGCAGATGTTACAGCGAATACGGCTGGACGAAGTCTCGCCCTCGCTTATGAGCTCCCGGACAGTGTCAGCCCTTGGACGCCCTCTGCGAATACCATCCTGACAGAAAGAATACACAGAATTTAGTAACACCTTAAGCAATTCTTTTTCTATTAAATAGCAGCCATATTTGACAGAATACAACACGTTTTAATACTTTTATGATCTAATAAATCTACAACATATGAATCAAGTTCATGAAGCACAATTTAAACTGGTATTCATGTTAATACTGTTATTACATATCTATGTTGTTGTTATAAAGAAATACCCTGTACAGTAGTCCTATCAGTGGTGTGTATTTCATACAGTGCAACATAATATCAATCATCATTTCCTTAGCTCAGCTCACGTGTTACATTGTTGCAGGACTGCACGTTTGTCCATTATAATTCATTCACATCCGGTTACATTTTTGGCGCGCGACTAGACGTCATGTATGAGCAGCTGCTCCAGAATCAGGAAGTAACTGGGGTTTAAAATCCACCATCACACCCTAATGCGCGGGCGTTTTTTTCTTTTTAAATGACTCTCCATCTCGGCCATATTTAGACTGACTCCAAACACAGTTTCCCCCATTTTAAGTTGTGCCATTATGAGGTATTATATCAGTGTGTTATTCTTTCATAAAGACTCAGTTTGGACTCGTTTGCGTCTTTTAAAAGTTATTAATATCACCATACGTGCACTCCTTTTCTTCCTAAAGCTGGTGTTATTACAAGTAGTTAAACATATTTGAGGCGTGGTTAGAACTCGTGAATGTATTGTACGTGTGTTACAGTGCTGTCAACAGCTCCACACTGTCGTATAAGAATAATTATAGCCTTTAAATAATACTCTTAAATCACACTGTGCTAAAAACAGGAGTCAAAGCTTTGTATTCAGTAACATTACCGTTCAAATAACCTGAACATACCCTGATCTGGTCTGGTGTAGGATCCGTGTCCGCCTCCCTGGCCGTCTGGGTGCCGGTAGGCGATGAAGCCCCGCTCACCGAGCCCGGGCTCAGAGTCACATTGTGGGCGTTCTCCCCCCACTTCCACGGGTAGACCATGAAGTCGCTGAACCCGGGGCTCGTGGGCGTCAGGGCCTCTGCTTTCCTGGGTTTAATCGGGGTGGTCTTGATGACAGACACCAGAACTCTTTTGGGCGAGTCGTTACAGAAAATAACATGCGGGTGCTTGTTATCGGCCATTGTACGGGCGTCAAAACTCCGGTGTTGGTCGCAAAAGCTAAGTTAAAAACTGTAAAAAGCTCTCACTCTAACTGCTTATAACAGCAAACAACAGGTAGAAAGGGTCATAAATAGTGCGCCTTTTCAGTCCGGAGTGAATATGTCCTTCATTTCCGAAGAGGAACAGAAAAAAATCTCGGATCCGTTCTTCGCTACAAAGTATCCAGAAAAGACAAGATATGAAGATGATGGCGATGAGTGTTCTTTCTTGTGGTCTTCTCACGGTTTACTAACGGATCGCAAACTTTGCTTCTTCTCGCTGCGGGTCGTCTGAACTGACCTGTGTGCGCCCACAGGAGAGTTGTCCCGCGTTGCAAAATCGCGCCTGAGCAGTCGACTGACCAATCGGCTGCAGGGATCCGGTCCAAAGTGTCAGAAGTAGCCAATGGCAACAGCCACATGGAACCACCCAGCAAGCCCGTCGGCCAATGGGAAGAGCAGACAGCGTTCCGTGTGGAATGATTGGCCTAAGAGTTCTCGTCCAATGAGATTTGAACACTTGACGCGCGCTCTTGCACGCCGACGTCGAGATTGGCCAATGGAGACGAGGGAGAGTGCACGTTCGGCCTCGGCGGAGCCAATGAGAGGGAAGGGCGGTTAATTTTACATTGCGGGCGAGCAGATGGCTCTTTCCCGCGCTGAGGAGTCTGTTTATGTTATTACATTTTTGGTCAATTTAAAGGGAAAAGAAACGGTGGCTCAGAGGCGCCAAAGTTACGTAATCCGTGTAGGGCGGAAATACTTGAACAAAGGGTGTACTGTGTGAGAGGAAAGAGAAATAGAAACAAAACGTTATTTGAAATTGTGTTTGTGTGGTGTAAATTATGGGGGGAAAGACATTTCTCTTTTCCATCAAAAGTTTACTTAAAGCTGTATACCCTATGTTTTTATAAAGATTTGGTATAACAGAAAAGTATGATCTATCAAGACCTTTGACAGAAGCTACAAGTCAGATTATGATGTCTTCAATTGGCCCACTTTGGCCCACTGGCATTGTTTGAGATATTACATCCAAATGGGTTTAAATATAAAGTAATATGACCATATGAATAACTGAAATAAAGGATTTAGTCATAGTGTCCCATTAGTTCTGAATGTATTCACCGTGGTGCAACAGAAGCCCTTTTGTCTGTCATTATGTGCCTATCTGTCAGCCTGTCTGTCTCTCACTCATTCACTGTTAAAGGCAATCCAAATCCATTTTACTGTCTTTAAAACAAATTGCCCCTGTTTACTGTGCCAAAAAAACACACCATCCAGATCATAGCTACACACACACACACACACACACACACACACACACACACACACACACACACACACACACGATAGACCTGAATTTAAATGTACTGGTGTTTTTGGTGATTAATAATATATTTTTAATAGTGCTATGATTATTTATTTGGGTGCTCACTTAAATTCTATTCAGTGTAATTAAAACTGTCTAGAGGACCCTCATCTCTTGGAGCCCATGCACTACAGTCTTATATATGTATATGTAGTTCTTTACATGCCTTAATACTGACACAGTGATATCAGTTTTAATGGAGTCAATGTATGTTGTATGCTGAGACCACAGACTTGTACTTTCTCCTCTGACCACTAGATGTAGCTAAGTTTCATTATGCATAAATATATCCTGACTCATCCTGCTAGTGAGAGTGACACAGCTTAATCAGGTTTAAGGCATGCAGACCTAAATTTATTGATAAAATACAAGAAAAATATGTACATTGATAAAGTTATTTTATAAATATCAGTTGGCTGGTCATGTCTAATGATCAACAAATGGAAATAGGTTTTGTCTGGAGTTTGCACAGATCTACACAGTTTAGTGCAAGCTGTATACAAAGGGAAATGTGCAGACTTAAATAGATTATCCTTCAAATTGAGCCATGACATGGAAAAGTAAAGACCACTTAATGATCATTGCATTCCTACACACAGCTGAGTTCATAAATAAATAAATACATGCAGACATTGTGTAGGCTATATTATTCCTATATCTTATTGTATTTCATTGTATTGTATTGATTTTATTCTATTGTTGTACTACATGCCCATGTGCTGCTGTGTCAAATGTTATATACTACCTTCTTCTGACACTTTTCATAAAAAACAGTGTTTGCTAAGGTTTTGATAGAAAGATAAATAAATGTGAAAATATGTATGATATGAACAGCTCAGTTCAGTTCAGTTCGGTTCCCCAGGAGCCCAACAGGCAGAAAGTTCAGTGACTGATGGACCAGTGCAGACAAGTGCAGTTAAGTTCAGCTCAGTGCCAGCAAAGCTTTCAGGTCAGTAAGCTTCAAGTTATACTGCCACCAGCTAGTCAGGACGGGGACAGCGGCTGCCACTTACAGGCACCAATAAATGCAGCTAAGTCAAGGAAAGACAAACATAAAAAAACGGCTCAGTCGACTAAATAAGTTTTGGAACTGAACTAACTGGAAATCTTGTATATAATACAGATGTATAGATATCTAAAATAGGGTTAATGCTAGATGCCAACAGCAGCTAGTTAGCACACTAATCTAACTTTAACCCAATGGTTCCCAAACTGGGGGTCGCCGAAGCTTTATTTGTGCTAGAAAACTTCAAAAATATACACAGTAGGTCTTCAGCTCAGCATTTTGTTAACTTCTGTGAGTAAAAGTAAAGTAAATTTTCTAATAGAACAGTGGCCAAGTGTCAAAATTCATCTAAATCAATCGTTTTACACAAACGTCTTGGGTTAATTGTACAGTTTTGAATTTAATATAAAAGATCCATAAAAAAAATTGTCCCTAAGTCAGAGGTCATGAGTCTCCCTTAAGGAGAAAGGGAACCCCTGCGTTGACCTACTATATTATACTATACTTACACCAGCCTTTGAGCTATAAAACTGCACTCTTAAGCTAATGTTAACTGTAACCAGCTTTAGGTTAATTATCAGCTTTTATTGTCATTTAATGTTAACTAAAAAATATATATTTCTTAAATGTTGAATGTTACATATTTGATTTGACTTCAGTCTCTGTGCCAGTGTGAACAGCAGGACCTGACTAAGCAGAGAATAATCCACCAACATTGGCCGAGGACCGGAGCCAAGTCTGTGTAATGAATATTGATTGGCGAATGGCCTATTGATGAGCGCAGGGGCGTGGCCTCGCCTGTCCGCACACGTGCAAACACTTAAAAGTGTGGACAGAGGGTCGCGAGCGTTTGTTGGATGTTCACCGGGGCAGGAAACTACCGTCCGCAGCTCTCCTCTGCTGTAGCGGCACAGGCAAACGCTCGTTTCTTGACTCAGCTATATCTTTTTTTCGTTGTTTACTATTTACAAGATATGTGTTGATCTTGAGGAGGCAATATCTCTTTGTACTTGTTCTCCCCTTCAACATACACAGGCTAAAAAAGAAAAACAAAACAAAACCAAACAAAAAATGCTTCCGGACGCATACGGTTGCGCTGTGGCGAACAGGTTCGGGGATCTTCTGGACGACGAAGCTGACCCGTTTGACCTGATGAGCCAAGTTGAAATGATGAAGGAGAAAAAGAAAAAGAAGAAGGAAGAGGAGGATAAGAAGGGCAAGCATAAAAAACCTGGCCAGAAGGAGTCGCAGAAGGATAGGCGCCTCCCCGTCGCGTCGGACGGTCTAGACCCGGTTCCAGGTGAGCTTGTCTGCGTTATTTACGCACCCCAAATCCAAACTATTCTCTCAGATGCTAGTATTTCTAGATTGTCTAGTCGAGCCAAGAGTTTGCTCAGGCTGTGTCAGCTGCTGATGATGCAAGGTCAGCGAGGCTGCTGGAGCACATGTGCATGCTTTTCAGGGTTGGGTGGCTGTGGTGGATTATCTGAAGCTAAATGACATTCTCCTGATTTTATGGCACATTCAGAACTGCATTTAATTTCATACTTTTTAATTTCTGACACGAGGGCAAACCATCTGCTGAATCTGCAGAAAAAAGGGGGACATACATTTTCTCTAAGATTCAAAATCAAGCCAATATCTTTTGTGGTATTGGAGTGTAATGAGATTTATAGATGTATGGTTCCAAAAGGGGCTGTTTTGTTTTGATTTGACTGTCCAGACATTTAGGTAAGATTTTCAAATCATTGGCAAACAAAGAGGGGAATAAAGTGACACAACACAATTGAATATATCTCTACTTCACCTTCTGTCTTCCAGTTCGTAAGCAGCAGCAGCAGCAGCAGCAGCAGCAGAAACAACAGCAGCAACAACAGCAGCAGCAGCAGCAGCAGGGACGTCCCAGACCAGGGACAGACAGCAGAGATGGCAGAGATGACACCCAGAGGGGCATGAAGAGGGTTGCCTTCGGGGAACGTAGGGCCAACCAAGTGGAGTACCCACAGGAGTTTTCCATCTCCAAGTATGTGTTCTCATACAAACGGAGGCTAACACGTGTCTGTGTATTGCTTTTTCAGAGACTGTAATGTTCTGTTTAGACAGCACCACCACTAACTGAAATGTGTCCAAATTAAGAGGCGTAAAATGTTATTTACGTGTTTCATATATTTAGTTTTTAGTGCAGAAAGGGAATTCTTTTCCCTTTTTTTTAATTTTTATTTCTCTTCTTAGTAAGCAATGTTATTTAAAACAAGACAATATTCTTTTTCTTAAAGGTGTGTAACATTTAGGAGGGTCTATTGGCAGGTAGGTTTTTATTGCTGTATAATCACCTGAAAATAAGATTGTTTTCGTTGCCCTAGAATGAGCTGTTTTTATCTACAGTAGAAGTGGGTCCTCTATGGAGGCTGCCGTGTTTCTACAGTAGCCCAAACAAACATGGCTCTAGATGGATACATGGCTCCCCCCGAGGCGAGGGGGTTGTAGTCTGCAGCTACACCACTAGATTCCAATAAATCCCACACTGGACATTTAATATAAGTAAATAATAATAAAGTTCATGAGTAATGAAACATTCTTGCTTTATTTTGCTGCTACAGTCTTGCTTGGTCTGGTATGACCAGTAACTTATGAATGGTAATGTTACCCAGACTTAAAGCCTCAACTACTCAACACTGAAGTACTGTCATTTTTTCCAAAATACAGACACAACCAATGGCCTATATGTAGTGCAATACTCCATCAGTTGCGTTCAAAGTACAGGAGCTGTCACAGGAATAAACTTATTTCGATTGGTCCACAGGCCTTCGTATAATGCAGAATCTGACTTCAGTGGCAGAGGGGGGTTCAGAGGTAGGAGAGGAGCAAGAGGCGGAGGATACACAAGGAACTCGGACAACTTCAACCCGAGGGGCAAGAGAGAGTATGATCGACACAATGGAACGTAAGCCTTTGTGTTCATGCTGTAGTCCAGTTTAATTGGCTTGTGCTCTTCTTGATTTTTCTTTCATGATGGCGTGTTGACAACTTCTCTAACATTCATCGCAGAGGTATCTCTCCTGAGGAAAAGAGAGGAGGCAGAGGACCCTGGAACTGGGGCAGTGTTGAAGAAGCTGCAAGGTAGGTGAACCTTTCATTAACAAAGACGTGTTTCTGTTTGTCCATGTCCCTTTCTTTGTGAAGTGAGTTAATGGAGGTGACATCCGATGCTCCAGTCAAATCTGAGGAGCCCCAAATGCCCGTGGAGGAAGAGAATCAGAATCGGTGAGTGACACATAAGCATCTGCCACATCACCCGGTTCAACAGCAGTTTAATCTGTCAAGAGTGACTTTTGTAACGATTACACTACCCAATATAGGGAAATTTATTTCTACAAATAATGCCTGTTGTGTTTTAGCATACAATGTCCTTTTCTGTTTCAGTTCAGCACAATAAGCTAATGTTTAAGTTGATACAAACTTAAATATGTAAGAGATAAAGAAAAAATCAGCTATTGGGTTTATTTATTGTCTAGATAACATTTGTTGCAATGTTTTTTTTGCAATGGTACATTTAAAACACATCCTGGTTTCCAACAATATAATGGTTACTGTACCAATAATGGTGGTGTGTGTGTGTGTATGTATGTATGTATTATATATATATATATATATATATATATATATATATATATATATATATACATATATATATATATATATATATATATATATATATATATATATATATAGTGTCACACTAGATTTACATTTCAAGATATGGAAACTTCAAAAGTGGACTGAAGGATGTAGTTTGTCCCCAATTATGATAGATCAATGGAAGAGGACGGAGAGATGGTGGTCCAGGTTGCCATGGAGATGACACTAGATGAGTGGAGGGCCATGCAGGAGATAAGTCGCCCCAAGGCGGAGTTTAATATCCGCAAAGCAGAGAGCAAGATTCCCTCCAAAGCCAAGGTCATCCACCAGTCAAAGTACATAGAGGTGAGACTGTAAGGCACTTAAAGGATTCTGTTCACAAGAAAACAAGGAAGGCCTAATAATAAAAGTGGGACCGTAATTTGGCACGAAGAGCTTGCTGGAAGACTACAAGCAATATTGTATTAACGATCTAAATACCATAATGTAATCACAGCAAAAATTTAGATGTGGGGGGGGGCGGGGGTTGGTGCTAATTGAGATATTGTATTTTGTTGTAACTGTTGGACTCCTGTCTGCAGAACATCAAGGAGACCGTGGAGGACATGGAGGATGACGGCAACTTCCTCCGTAGGTCTGTGAATGACATCACCTCCCTTCTGGACATCAATTTCGGGAGTCTTGGACGCCCCAGTCGTGGTGGTCGGGGAAGGGGAGCACGAGGCGGCCCAACCAGTCGCCCAGAGAGACCCAAGCCCATTTTGGAGAGGGTATGACCTCGACTGTTAATGCTAATGAGTCTCAAGGCTTTTTTTAACTTTAATTCTTAGCACAATGCCCAGTTTAGAATGGTACGCTGTGCCAAATGTGACACTTCCATCTAGTTTGGCTTCACCACTCTCCCCATAAGAAACAGCTGATTGTATGTGTATACCTTTAGGACATAAAATGTAGGCTACCCCAGTGGAAGCACATCTGAGTTTAATGTATTATTTAATTACTGTCTCTAATGTCTGTTCTCCCACCAGGAGGATGATCTGGCTCCTAACCCAGATGACCCAGAAGACTTCCCAGCACTTTCAGCAGGAAGATAACTGAATTCACATCTGTTTACATCCTGCGGGGGAATATTGGTTGCACTTGACACTTGCTAAAAGAAATTGTTCATGTTTCTGCAGTTCTTACGGTTTTGGGGTTTTATTGTACTGGATTTATTTTGTTCTATTGCACAAAAGGCACTGTTCAGCATTTGACTCCTGGAGAATAAATGCTTTTGCAAGTTTAACTTGTAGCAGTGTATTTTTTTTATTTTTTTTAATGCAATTCTGGGACCATTTGAACAAACGTGTAGGAAATGTGAGAAAGTTTGGGTATATGGACCTGTGTTGACTTGTATTTGTAGCAATTGTACTTGGCAAAAAAGGATAGTGTTACTGTGACTCATGAAACCAGTTGTTTAATATTTCGAAGAACTTTCCTTGTGCTATCACCGGTCAGCTTGATACTTACATTAGCCATAACAGCCAGAGACATACTTGGAGTACATTTTATTTAAAAAGTCTGATTCTATGTGCTTCAAGCAAATGTCTTCAGTGGATTATGAACATGAGTTAAACAAGGCCCCATTAGGACCATTGGCTTATTTCATAGCATGATTAAAACATAGTACAAAATATTTAAAAAATACAAACTGAGTATATCAAATGTTGACATATTTACAGTCTTGAAATACAGTAGCTGAAAAGCTTCACAAGTAAATGACAGGAATAGAAGACGAGCCATACATTGAGGATGGAGGTACAAATGTGCACAGTGCTGTATCTGGTGATGGAACTCTTGCTGATATAGACGTGATATTTTTACTACATCCAAAGGCCTTGTACCACAGAGAACCAAGAGCAGGGTTTTAATCCAATACTCCTGGCTGAATCCATTACAATTTTTTCAAACAATGTGAATCTCCCCTCTTATAACCCAGTATATCTGTTGCACAGTGCTCATTTTGTAGTAAACGTCTGATTCACACACATGCCAGTTTGATGATTGCGGTTCCAGTCTGATGTTTGCTACTGCATGCTTCAATAAGTAGGAACAACCAGGCAACGATTAAAACTCAGATCAGTTTGTTTCATGATGCTGTGTTAAAAATATAAAAACCAAAGTGCCTTACGGGTAAAAGAACTTGTAATCAAACAATCTATAATTGATGTCTAATGATTTACATGTCACATCACAGTTAAAGTTTGTTTAAACTTGTCCCCCCCCCCCCAAACTTAAATCTACTGAAAGACTAGTACAGCTCTATAGAAGTTGGATTTCATGTAAAATTCCTCAGGATTTCCAGCTCCACAGGCTCACCGAAGCAGAGGAGCTCTAGCTTTAGGTATGGAGTGACTATAGAGAAAACAAACAAAGTCAGCATTAAATCTCAGATTTAAATTGCACCAGTTAATCAGTCAACATTTTTTCCATCCATGTATACAAATCAGACATGCCTGTAAGAAAGCTTCATTTCAGATAATTCCAAAAAAGTAAATTGGATGTTATTTAAAATACAGTAACTGTAGCACAGAAAAAGAAGAAGAGATAGATACCATAGCCTGGAAAATCGAACTGACTGCAAAGACTTGCGAGTTTTACGTCCACTGGAGACAGTGCGTCTGTTGCATGTGAGAAATATGAAGGAAAGAACGAGAAAGGATATGTAAAAAATTACAGATAAGCATAAATAAAAAGGATGCAGACGTGGCTACAGAGTGGGCATGAGAGGCCAGAGGCAGAAGACACAGTGAGCAGAGTCCAGAGAAGCTATAGCCAATCATACTCCGAAACCCCCGTTCTTAGAGGACATGCAAGGAAAGCTATAGAGAGAAGCAGCAGGGAAACTGAAGTAAGTGGAGTTTGATTTGGCAACCTGACACTGGTGCGTAAGCAGGGTCGAATTGACTTAATGTTAGTCCTGGATAATGTCAAGCTATATATAATGTTATATAACGTGTTAATCTGAGTAAAGAAGAAAGGTGGCTGGGTTGCACCATCATGGTTTAATTTAAAGATTGCAGACGACCAGTTTAATTACACTATATTAACTGTGTGGGACGATATGGATGTAAATCATAGTAAGAATAAAGCTTAAACTGACTTCATACAAAAAAGTATTAAGCTGGAAAACTTTTGAACCATCCGTCATTTTAGATTAAAAGTCTCTTAATTTTGCTATATTTCGCATTTTTGACAAACATATTGTTGGTTTACTCTGCCAATATAAAGAGTAAATTAACTTCAACTTTTGTCAAAGGTTTCTGTTTCCATGAAACCAGTTAAGTCTGATTCTTATCTTTCTTTAAGGAAATTTAATTTTTCTCCAACTACCTTAAAAGACACTCCAGACATGTGAAACATCTCAACCGTCTGATCAAAACGATTAAAAGTGATATACAGATTGAATCTGGCTTATTCCTAACTACAAAAAAACATCAGATTAAAAAGAATTTGTGGATAAACCACAATTTGATTTAGTTTAAGCATTTAATCCTTGTTGATGCATCCCAGCCTAAGTACATTAAGTGATTATGATACAACCACTGTCTTGAGCATTAACAGGAGAAAGAGTGAGAGTGCTGAGCCTCTGGATTTTGACTGGATTTACACAGACACCAATTAAAAAAGGTCTTTAACAGAGATCTGCTCATCCTATTGCTGCCCAAACTGAGGAAAAAACATTTAAATGTGACTTTTTCCCCCCTGTTTGGACAGCATAGACAACATCTCTTCATAGAAAACTGATCAGTAAAAACTGAGTTTCTGTTTGTGTGCAAATGCAGCCCAAGTCTCCATATGGCACAGAGTGGGTCTGAGGGAGCTTGCCTGCAGGTGGACCTGTGCCATGTTTAAGTTGATGAGTGTGCCTGTGTTGGCTGTAGCACTGGCTGTGTCTCTATGGCTGCCACATGGCTCACAACACATTGGGTCTCTGTCGCCAGCCACTACATGCAAGTTGCCTAGGGACCTGACCAGTCTGGTGTGGCACAGGGAGCTGGCAGAGAGAAGGGAAGCTGTTAATTTACTCCACAAGGATCCGTGAGTGGCTATAGCCTCTTGGTTGCTTTTCATCTGTGTGTCAATTTCACTTACAAACAAATCAAAACAGAACTGAATGCATTACATATTGCATCAACATAGCACAGACCTGGATAATGAAATAAATAGAAAAAATTTGCAATATTTTTAAAAAGGAATCACTTGTCCAAATTGAGGACTTAATTGGCAAATAATTATTTTAATATATAATAAAATAATATAATATAAATAATCTTATCTCCTGGTCAGCTTAATAACATTTTCTAGGCACATCTGAGCAAACGCCATTTTTTGATAATCTAATAATCTAATAAGTGGACCTTGAGTTAATGTTATCTTGTCAAAATGCTCTCACCCAGTTCTAATGGTTGCATTTTCTAATATAGAGAATGCTGTATTTAATTTAATTTAATCTAATCATTTGGAACCACCATTTCTGGTGTAAGCAGAGCAGCAAATGGATCAGATGTGGCATATAATCTTATTTCATTGTGAAGAAATTATTTTTATAATTATGCAAATTCTAAATCAAACATGTAATTTACTTAATATAGTATGAGCTTCAGAGGAGGTTATATAAGACTTTTTCCTATTTTCAATCAAAGCTGCTACAGATCTCGGAGATCAAACACTCGAGCCAAGTTTTATTTGCCTTTAAGCAGAGACACAAAAAAGGCATCTGATGTCTATCTGGGTAGGTAAAAATGCCTTGCATTCCTTGTGCTGCTCTCCCAGATAATATATCTGGGCTATCATTGCCTCAATGGGTGTCAAATCCAGCCACTGACCTTCCTCCCACTCCGCTGGCTGGCAGAGAGGTCCTGGTCCTCTTCCTGCTGTCTGAGTGTTCAGACAGAGCCAATGGGGTGACGCTGGCCTTACAGCCCTGAACACTGGCCTGCAGGATGACCGTGCTGCAGAGGAGACAAATGTCATTAATTAGTCTGAGCTATATTTAATGTCAGATCGCAGATAAACTTGCTTGTGCGTACTAAAAACCTTACCTCAGGGACTGTGATGATGACCTGGTGTGAATCTTATTCTCTTCTTGTCTGTGAAAACACAAGCAACACAATAGTAAAAATGTGATTGAACGTTATATATTGAGAGATCTGAGCAAAAAGATGACAGGAGGCATGAGGAGTGGAGGCAGAGACTATATGGAGATGGATATGGTGTTTTTAAAAAATCTGATAGTGTTAGACTTGTGCACAGGTTGTTATTGCAGCTTCAGCAGCCAGGTAGGATTAGTAAAGCCAAGTAAGTACCACAAAAAGCCAGGAGGTGGCACTAAACCACTTAAAGAGGGATTTTTGCCTTTTCACAAAGTTATCATATTCATCAAGAGGGCTCAACTGTCTGACAGGATTTCATTTAAACAGTTTGCATTGCAGTCAACACAATAACCAGCAAAGCATGTTTACAGATGATAGGATGATGGGAACACAGGGACAAAATCATTATGTACACAAGATGGTGACAAGGACAAGGCACGAGCCTCTGATGTTTTAGATTTATTTATTTATTTTTTTTAAACTGGCTCTGCTCATCAGCCTTAAGTTTACTGTGCTTGCAGAAAGAATAAAGTAACAATAGGATGATTTGAACAAATTTCTTGATTTGGTTTGGGAATTAAAAAGAGACTGGGGTCTCACTTACAGCATTCTCAGTTAGAGCTCCAGGAGAGGGGGCAGGACAGGTTTTTTGGGGGCTGACGGGCGGTAGAACTCATTGAAATCCTAACCCGTCTATACAGAAATGCAGGATGGAAGAAGGGAAGCCATACACAATCCACCACAGGGCAAGGCTACACAGGGAGGAGAGCAGCATGGCTACCAGCCATCTGAAAGGAGGACAAATCCAACAACAAGAGCAAACGGAAAAAAAGGGGAAAAAAAAGGAAGGAGAGACAAGAGACGTCCAGGCAGGGCACAAAGCCTCTGATGTTCAGCTTTTCCACTGGGACTGGATTAGATGAAATACCTTTCATAGAGCCTTGCATCCAACAGTGCCAGTCAGCTAGTTTTTGTTCTTCACTTGCTCTGATGTGTTAGCAGATTGCTATATACTTAGAACCCGACCAATGTAGGCATTATGAAGTAAGTGTGTGTGTGTATTAAAAAATATAAAACTGATAATATAGGGTCTGATATTTCATTTTTACACAGAGTGTTTGGTCGAGCTCACAAAAATCTAAAATGATAC